ATTGGAGGCTGGCAGAAGGAGACTGTTTTAGTGAAGCTTGTCGGTTGGATTTTGTAAATGTGAAGTCGGAGTTGCCTGATAACATTGGATAGGAGGTGTCACATGGGCCCTTAGACATACTTGGCGTTCTGGTGTGGCCTGGACCAGGGACAGGATGACATTTGGGAAAGACAGTCTTGGGTTGTAGTTACAAGCTTTAAGGAGAATGCGTCAAGAGTAAGGACTCGTGCTGGGTGCAAGAGGTGGAGGCCTGGGGAGAGTGCACGGCCTGGGGAGGGCCCCGCTTCTCACGTATGAGGGGAGAGCATGTCCATCAGGGGTCAGTGTCTGGAAGATGTGAATGGCAGGTGGCTGATGACATGGAGACCAGCCCTGTATCCAGTGCTTAGGTCACATCTGTCTGCCAGCCTTTTTAAAAAATTGTTTTATTTTATAACAAAATCATTCCATTTTAAAATGTTCACTATAGAAGTAAAGGGCTGGGAACTGCAGACCTCTGTGGGCCTCGGTTCGGAATGGGGAGGGTCAAGGAGGGAAGAGGGGTGAGTGAGATGTGTCCCAGGCAGGGAGGGCAGAGGAGGAGAGCATACCATTCCTTGTTGTGAGACTGCCTTAGCGTAGAGGTTGGAGATGACTTATTGATACCGCCTAAGGGGCCGCCCAGGCCCAGTGGCCTTTGGGGACAAGGCTATGTATCCCTTTTAGAAAGAGTGGGGCACATTGTGGAGAGTTTGTGCTCCTGTCTTTATGAGGTCAGGTTTTTGCATCCCCTTCTTTCCTTGTACCTCAAATGTGGATTCTCCTGCTTTTCCCAAGTTGGTCATCAGGAAGTGGTGCTAAGTCTGGTACAAGCCTGTGTCTTCCTGTCTGGTCTTCATGGCTGCTGCATTAACAACCCCCACCTCTGCTGCCCTAGGACACCTGTTCCAGGACTTGAAAAACCATGGTCCCGCGTCTGGCGCAATGGCGTAGTGGTTAGTGTCCTCACCTTGCACGCGCCGGGATCCCATATGGCCACCGGTTCTAATCCCGATGGCCCTGCTTCCCATCCAGCTCCCTGCTTGTGGCCTGGGAAAACAGAAGAGGATGGCCCAAAGCCTTGGGACCCTGCACCCACATGGAGACTCAGGGGAGGCTACTTGACTCCTGGCTTCTAGCATTGGATTGGCTGAACTCCAGATATTTTGACTACCTGGGGAGTGAGCAGTAGACAGATTGTTCTGTATCTCCCTCTCTGTAAATATGTCTTTCTAATAAAATAAATCTAAAAAAAGAAAAATTGCACTTCCTGGCACAATAGACTTGTGACAAAATTCTTGCCTTGCATCCTCCAGGATTCCATGTGGACACCAGTTCATATTCTGGCTGCTCCAGTTTCCATCCAGCTCCCTGCTTGTGGTCTTGGAAAGCAATAGAGGATGGCCCAAAGCCTGGGATCCTGCACCTGCATTGAAGACCCAGAAGAAGCTCTTGGCTGTGGCTTTAGATCGACTCAGCTCTGGCCACTGTGGCCACTTGGGGAATGAACTAGTAGATGGAAGGTCTTTCTTTTTTTTTTTTTTTTTTTTTTTAAAGATTTATTTTTATTATTTTTTCATTGGAAAGGCGGATATACAGAGAGGAGAGACAGAGAGGAAGATCTTCCGTCCGATGATTCACTCCCCAAGTGAGCGCAACGGGCCGATACTATGCCGATCCGAAGCCAGGAGCCTCTTCCGGGTCTCCCACGCGGGAGGCCATCCTCGACTGCTTTCCCAGGCCACAGGCAGGGAGCTGGAAGGGAAGCGGGGCTGCCGGGATTAGAACCGGCGCCCATATGGGATCCCGGGGGCGTGCAAGGCGAGGACCTTTAACCACTTGCACCACCGCGAGGTCTTTCTTTTTGTCTCTTTCTCTCTGTAATCTGCCTTTCCAATAAAAGTGTTCTTTTAAAAATATTGTTTTCTAATGCTTAGTAACAGGTAATTTTCAAGTTTCTTTTATTATTATTATTTTCATTTTTAATCAAAAGGAAGGTTTATAGAGAGAAGGAAAGACACAGAAATGTTCACTTGTTCACATCCTCTGGTTCACTTGCTAGATGGCTCTAGTGGCTGAGGCTGAGCTGATGAAAGAGAGGAGCCAGGAGCTCCTTTCTGGGTATCCCTAGTTGGTATAGGGGCCCAAGGACCTGAGCCATCCTTCACTGCTTTCCTAGGCCACAAGCAGAGAGCTGGATGGAAAGTGATGCTGATGGAATTAGAACCAGCCTCCTTATGGTGTATTGAAGGTGAGGACTTCAGCTGCTAGGCTACCGCATCTGGCTCTAGAACATTTTATGGCTAATATTTCTATACTTCTGATACAATACTCAATAGGATACTCTACCCTGTGAATTATGCACTTTTCTTCCTTTTTTAGTGGGAAAATAAGAATGTCCAACATGCTCTGGGGATTTTTCCTCTCTTCCTTGAGGATAATTTTTTTTCCCTAGCCTTAGTTTCTATACAGGTATTTATCATTCCTCATCTGGACTGATATTACCAGCAAAGTGAATACTGCCAATTTCTAGAGTTCTCTGGGTACCTGTGTCCCCTCCAGTCTCTGTCCTTTGAACTCAGGCTTCCTATCCCTGTGTTATAGCATAGAAGCTCTCCAGGAAGGAGCTGTAGGCAATCATAGTGCCTACTTCTTTCCCATCTCTTAAGGTTCTCTGGTCTATGTAATCTTGCTGCAGTGGTTTTTGTTTGTTTCTTTTCTTTTTTTTTTAAAGATCTCTTTCTTCAAAGTCAAAATTACAGGAGAGAGAGGGAGAGACAGAGATCTTCCCTCCATTGAATTACTCCCCAAATGGTCATAATTGCCAGAGCTGGGCAGTCCATAGCTGGGAGCCAGAAGCTTCTTGCAGCTTTTCCATGTGGGTATAGGCACCCAAAGCCTTGAGCCATCCTTTATTGCTTTCCCAGACTACAAGCAGGAAGCTGGATCAAAAGTGAAATAAGGGCCTGGCGTGATGGCGCAGAGGTTAAGGTCCTCATCTTGCACGCCCGGGATCCCATATGGGCGCTAGTACTACTCCCAGCAGCCCCGCTTCCCATCCAGCTCCCTGCCTGTGGCCCAGGAAAGCAGTCGAGGACGGCCCAAAGCTTTGGGACCTGCACCCGAGTGGAAGACCCGGAGGAGGCTCCTGGCTTTGGATCAGCATAGTATCGGCCGTTGCGCTCACTTGGGGAGTACATCATCAGACGGAAGATCTTCCTCTCTGTCTCTCCTCCTCTCTGTATATCTGCCTTTCCAATAAAAATAAAATAAATCTTAAAAAAAAAAAAGTGAAATAGCTAGGACTCAAACTAGCACCTATGTGGAATGCTGACGTTGCAGGCAGAAGATTAACTTGCTAAACCACTGCACCAACCCCCTGCTATACTGTTTTGTTTTGTTTTTTTGTGTTGCACTGTCTGAAAACCCCCCCCCTTTTTTTTTTGTTTCAGTTGTTTAACACATTAAAGGGTAGGTCTGTTCATCATATCTGAAAAGTTTTATGATTTATATTTGTACTATTTCTTCTCCCTTCCCACAATGAATTCCTGTGTCTTCACTTGAGTATCAACTCTACAAGGAAGGTGCCTGTGCATTTGTTTACTATTATTGCACTGGTGCACTCTCCAGCACACAGGAGTTGGATTAAGTGAATAAGGATACCACGTTCCTTAAGTGCAAAGAGTTATAATGTGGAGTATGCTGTGATATGAAAGAAGACTTCCCACAGGGAAGGTGCTGAATGTATGTGCTGCATGGCGTCCTATGAGATGTGACACAGCCTGCACCTCAAAATCTTCTGTCCATGATGAATACAGAGATGTAGGGCACAAGCACAAAAAACACAGATGAAATCCAGATAGTAGTTTTGACAGAGCTCTGATAAAATAAAACAGAGAGGAGGCAGAGAACAGTGAATGCTAATTCATATCAGTAGTCAGAAAGACTCCTCTGGTAGGTGACTCTAGAGAATGAGTGTTCCAGCCAGCAACAGCTGTACTGTAGATGCCCTGGGCAGAAACGAGCAGGTGCGTTTTTAGTACCATGGAATCAAGAACTGCAGGAAGCCAACTGAGAAAAAGAACTTGGATGTCATTGTAGGTCTATTGCTGCCACTGCTGCCGCCGTCTTCCAAATCCAGGATCATGTTTGTTCCAGAACTAGTGCAAAATTCTGGACTGGGCTCTACACAGCTCTGTTCTAGTACTGCTTCTCAAGTAAGCACAACTGCAAAGAGAGAATTCTCACTCCCAGATGTCATAAACCTCACTTTAAGGAGTTTCAGCAAAAAGTATCATTTATTGGTACATGGAAATCAAAGTCTGTTTGACACCTGTGTTTAGTCACTACAAGGATCTGGAGTCCAGATGACATTAAAGGGCTGTCTTCAGCCATTACTCTACGGTGTTTTCCTATGTTGCAGTTCACGGGGGGCCTCTGTAGATTCAATATGCAATTCAACCCCAATGCACAAATTCCCAGAGTTATGTGAGCTTTGCTTCAGATATTCTGGCATATATGGCATGCTGAAATCAAGTATTCTTTCCCGCTGGGGGCTGTGTCAGTTTACAAGGCCTACTCATAATTGATCACTCAGGATTTAAGGAGCTGAGCTCTGGCAACAAATGCCTGCCCTACCTTCAAGTTCACATGGCTCAGCCAAACTTTCTCATCACAAGCAGCTTACCATGTTAGTAGAAGATAGAGGGAAGAAGGGATGCTGCTGCCCCCAGACCTCAGAATTCTGGGGAGAACTTACACATACTTTCCACGTGTGCTGACCACAAACTTTCCTGGATGCTAGTCCTAAGATGGTCAGTATCTCTCTACTTCATGCTACTGGGGGATAGTCATTCTGGATGACATGGAGGTCACAGTGAAGCTGATGCATGCTGTTTGTAGATATCTGGGGACCACAAGCTCCCTCTGGCCTGATTTGCTTCCTGGTAATCACAGCTATTGGCCCAAGACTGATTTATATGGGTTCTTCTGAAACAACTTTGTATAGAAGTTTGCAGGAGTGGTTTCCAGCATTGAGAAAATCAGAGGCCTCCATGTAAAAATGTGCCTCTTTCTCCTCTTAGGAATCAAAAAAGTGGTGTAACCATACGTTAATTCACCATCTCTGTCTTTTGTGTCCTGGGGTAGTTCTGCCTCAATGGCAGTAAAACCAACAGATGAAGGTCACAGCCATCACAATCTACCAGGAATATTGGCTGGATCATGGTGGCCACATCCCTGGACTAGAGGATCTCCCTTCTTTTGGCCCTGGAGTTCCTGCCTACACAGGGATGGCCTTGAGGTGAACAACCCAGGGTTGTGGCAGAGTGCAAAATCTTTATATTATTTGCTCTGCCAGTGCCCATTCTAAAGCAGCATCTGCACTTGTTCTAAAGAATGTGGCTATGCAGAGCTGACTCTCCCTTGTGGCCAAAACCATTGTCTCAAGTGACAACTGTGGTCAACAATGAAAAGCAGATTTTTTTGTTGTTTGTTTGTTTTTTAAGAGCTACTGTTAGCTGAATTTTGTTGTATAAGCTCCCTACAGTGTTTGATTCCAAGCCACTCATGTGATGTCACTGAATGTACTTAGAACCAACAGCTCTTGTGAGCCAGTATGAGCTGGCTCAAGCACACCATGGGCATGTCTTCAGTTACCAGTCTCTCTCACCCTCTCAGCTCAAGACTGGTGTTCTTACCTACCTAGGATGCTCATCTGCTATAATTTTATAGCCAGTGAAAGCAGATGCCTCTTAGTAGCGTGGCATCGGGACACATGATTTGGATAACACAAACCTTCAGTCTGTCCCAGTAGGCTTTGGATCACAGACAAATTATGTTGAATTAGACTAAAAGCTTTCCTTGACATCTTGCTATTGATTTTAAGTTCAGGAAAGTCTGGGCCCCCATAAAAGCTCTTTCTCCCTTTGCACTGTTACAGGCTAATTCTCTTCTCAGTCTCTCCTACACACAATGGATGGAGCCCCAGGATTAAGAGATTATTTCAATCCGGAATTTTACTAAAATATTTTATGTGAAAGGCAGAGTAATAGAGGAGACAAAGAGAGTTTCTTTCTACTGGTTCACTCCCCCAAATGGCCACAATAGCTATGGTTAGGCCAAGCTAAAGCTAGAGCCAATAATTCCTCTTAGATCTGCCTAAGCACTTGAACCATCGCCTGCTGCTTTTGCAGGCACATTAGCAGAGAGTTGCATCTCAAGCAGAGCAACCAGGACTAAAAGCATTGCTCCAATACAAGATGCCCGTGCTGCATGTTGCAGCCTGGCCTGATGTGCCACAACCCTTCCTACTAGGCCTTCATTATCACTCACTGTGGAAGCAGAAAGTTCCACAGTTGGGCAATTTGAAGGCTGGACAAATGCCTGGTAGGTGTCAAGCTCCACAAGGACTAAGAAAAAGGGAAGTCTCTGGAAGCTTTCAGTAGACTCCAGCTCAGTCTCTTGGTGAAAACTAGGTTAGGGCAATATAAACCATAGAGGGAAGGAAAAAGGTAGTTAATAAGGTGACCCCAAAAGGTTCCCATCACTCATAGTTCTGTCCAGGGTATGAAAGAGTACAGCGGTCCAACTTCCGTGAGGATGGCACGTCACCCTGAGGAGGCCTGCCAGCTGCTACAGGTGAAGTGGTATCTGGCAGTGACATAATCTGACAAGGAACTAGACAGGATGGTAAAGGTGACATGGTTCCTCAAAGCTTCCCATCTATCTGACAGAGGTAATTCCTTCAATGGTGTTGTGATACTCAAGATTCAATTTTTAGCTGCTGCTTCACAAGGATTCCTTTCTCAGAATTGTTCTCATGAGTGAGTTCTTTTATGGTCAACAAGGAAAAGCCCCAACTAAGTGCTTTCCTACACTGACCACATGCCTAAGGCTTTCCTGTAGCATGATCTTTCTGGTGCTGAGGGAGACTGGAGCTGTGGCTGAAGGCATTCTTGTGTCTCCTATACTTAGATGACCCTATTCCAGTATGACGTTTTTGGTGCTTGGAAAGGTTCGAGCTGTAGCGGAAAACTTTTCCACATTTGTTGCATTTATAGGGCTTTTCTCCAGTGTGAACTCTTTGGTGCTGACTGAGGATGGAGCTTTCACTGAAGGATTTCCCACACTGGCTGCACTCATAAGGCCTCTTTCCAGTATGAACCTTCCGGTGCTTAACAAGGTTAGAACTATAGCTGAAGGCTTTTCCGCATTCGTGGCACTCATAGGGCCTTTCTCTAGTGTGAACTTTCTGGTGCTGAATGAGGGCAGAGCTTTGACTGAAGGCCTTCCCACATCTTGAGCATTCATAGGGCTTTTCTCCAGTATGAGTCCGCTGGTGTGGGGCAAGGTTGGAGAGGCAACTAAAGGCTTTCCCACACTGGTTGCACTTATAAGGTCTTTCCCCAGTGTGACTCCTTTGATGCAGAACAAGTCTGGATATTTGCCGGAAGGCTTTCCCGCATTCCTTGCACTCAAAAGGCCTTTCTGTATTATGAACTTTCTGGTGCCGAACAAGATGAGAGCTGTTAATGAAGGCCTTTCCACATTCGTTGCATTCATAAGGCCTTTCTCCAGTGTGTATTTTCTGGTGCTCAGTGAAATTGGAAATACAATTAAAGACTCGCCGGCACTGTCTGCATTCATATTGCCTTTCTCTGTTATGAACTTTCTGGTGCCTAACTAGATGGAAACTGCGAGTGAAGGCTTTTCCGCACTGCCCACACTCATAAGGCCTCTCTCCAGTGTGAACTCTGTGGTGCTGCACAAGTGAGTGTTTGCGGGTAAAGGTTTTCCCACATTCACTGCAACTGTTGTGTGTTTCCCCAGTGTGAATTTTCTGATGCAGCCTCAGTTTAAACATGTGGCTAAAGGCCTTCCCACATTGCTTACACACATGAGCTGTTTCTCTAGGATGAACTTTTTGGACATTAGCATGGGTTGCATTCTCCTTGGGGGCATTTCCACCTGTGGGGCATTTGAAGTGTCTCTCTTCAGAGTGAGTTATCAGGTGGTCAAGGAGAGCAAAAGCCTCCAGGAAGTTTTTCCCACAGCGACTGCACTTGAAAGGCCTCTGGGTGGCATAGGCTCCTTGTTGCTGCTCATGTTTGGAGCTGAGTGGGAAGGCTGCCCTATCAGTGCTGCTGTGTAGCTTCCCCTCACTGAGGATGGCTCGGTTGTGGCCATCCAGGATGTCCTGCCTACCATCCTGGCCCTTGAAGGGCTTCTTACCACTATGCCCTTTCTGGGGCTGGTGAAAGTTCCTGCTGATCCAGAAGCCTGTCCCACATGATTCACACATGTAGGGTTTGTGTCCTGGGTATAGTACCTGATGCTTAGCCATGTACAAAATACTTTTCAGGATTGGGCCACACATGCCACAGGTATTGGCATTCTTGGTAGAAGGACTTGCCTCAGGCGTCTCAAACTGCAACAGTCCTTCTCCAGAAGTACTCTGCTCAGGAGACGCTTGTTCTGCAGCATGCCAGCCACCTGAAAGCACAGAAATACTGGTGAAGTGCACCTGGGCTCCACTGACAGGAACAGCCTCATCACAAGTGTATCTGACATTTGCAGGAATGAAGTCAGGATAAGCTAGATCTGGCAGTGCAGGGCTGGGCTGAGTAAGCCGCATAGGGAGGGGACTCACTAGGTAAGAGAACAGGGTTAGGGTTCAGGTTTGGAGAAGAAGCAGGGACACCAAATCATACCTCACCTTTCAGTAGGATGAGATAAGGCAGTCCCAGAACACCTCTAATAGCAAGAGATCTCTGGGTTTGCACAGACCCAGGAAAGTCCAGCTGCACTGGGCATGTGGCTCTCGGAGTCTATATGAAGTTATGTGGACAGTTCATAATACACAACATGCAGGCTAAGGTATGAAGCCCCACAGAGGAGCAATGAAGGGGAACAGAGGAGACAGAGGTTGGAGGAGTGGGCCCATCCACCGTGGATGGGGCACATGTCAGAATAGAAATGGCACGAAGGTGGCCCAGCAGTGAAACACTGGTGGATGCGGAGCACATGCCTCACACAACATGAGCCTGACCCTGACAGGACACCTATGCCTGGTCCCACTCACCAGGTCTCTGCTTCCTCTTGTCCTCTGCTTTGACTAAACACTTATTTACCCTATTGGGTACCCATGGCACTTTACCTTGCTCCAGGTGGGTGACCACAGAGGATTTGGAAGATGCAAGCCCTAAGGGAAAAGTAGAAAGAGGCAAGTGGTTAGCTGTAATGCAAGGCAACTCACACCATGAGTTCCAAAGGGAGCTCATCTCATCTTTGCAACTGGGAAGAATACCACATTGTTAGAAATAAGCCTTTGAGGAGCATCTCACAGAAACAGTGCAGTGGTCCCCACAAGCAGTGACCTTATTGGTGCTCACAGTCTCAGACACAGCCCGGCTTCTAGAAATGTCTGATTTAATAAAATGGTGAGAAATCTGGGGAATAGAGGTGCAAGTGACCGGGGTAGTCTGAGCAGCTTGGCTCAGACTGCTGACCCTGGGTCCCTCCCTGCAAGGGTTCACACAGTGTCAGCACTTCCAAGGAGAAGAGTTCATGCTACACACACAGAGCAGTTAGTCCACAGCTCCCATGCTCCAGCTGTGGGAAAACAGAGCTGCCCTCAGGAGAAACAGGAAAGAATGCTGGGGTGGGAGTAAGGGCCTTACCCAGAGAGGCCACAAGTGCAAAGTTCTGCAGCATCACATCACGGTACAGGCGCCTCTGAGCCTCCTCAAGGAGCCCCCATTCCTTCCGGGAGAAGGACACAGCCACATCCTCAAAGGTCACCTGGCCCTGCCATGATGGTGACAGCTAAGTCAACCCAGCCAAAAGGATGGCAGAAAACATGGACAGAAGGTGTATGTGTGTGTACATACACATAAACAGAGATGCCTCATCCTGCCACCTAGCTGGCAGCAGCTTCTTTCTCCAAGGTCCTCAGTTCCTGTTACACATACACCCTGGTCATCTACGTACCCAAGTCCATTTGCCCATGATGGCAAGTAGACAGATGCCATCTAAGCTCTGGGTGCCCAGATTTGCCCTACAAACATAAAGCTCACCTTTTATTAGGTCCTGGCCCCATTGGTTCACCCTCTTTTTAAGAGACATCAGTCCTTGAACCTTCCATCTCCAAACCCTGCAGCCACCCAAGGCCCACACAGCCAGCACTTCCTTGCCTCTCCACATGCCTCTGCAAACAGCATACAGAGCCTAACTACTCAGTGAAGACAAACAGGATCTTGTCATACACCAGACCCCCTAAGTCCCAACCAGCAGGGAGTTAGCATTCAGCCTTTCTTTCATGGCTTTCCAGATGGTCCTGTTCGTAGTGTCAACCCTGTTTCCAGAACTACACACAGACCCCTGGGACCCATAGGCCTCTCAGTTACCGTGTGTTTCCTTATGCATGCGCAAAGCCCTGAGCCCAACACTTTCCCAGAGGACCCTATCTGCTGCTGAGCTGCTGTGACAATCTGACTAAAACACCCAGGCAGGCCCCACATAAAGCAGCTAAGAAAAATCAGTGATCTTGTAGAGGGGTGAATGAACACAAGCCCCAGTGTCACTGACCCCTATTCTACCTCCATCTCAGGGACCTTAAAACTTTCTGGACCCTCTTTCCTTCTTCCTTCCACTCATTCTGTTTCACCATCTCTTTCTTTCTCCTGTTTCTTCTTTGGAAGTTACCCATGCATTTGAAAAGCAAAACTAAAGAGAGAGAGAGAGATGTTCCATCTGCTGGCACACTTTCAAGGTGGCCACAACAGCCAGGGCTGGGCCAGACCAAAGCCAGGAGCCAGGGGCCCAAGGACTTGAACTATTCTCTGCTGCTTTCCCAGGCACATTAGTAAGGAGCTGGATCAGAAGTGGAACAGCCAAGACTTGAACTGACACCCATATGTCATGCAGGCTAATATTGCAGGTGGTTGTTTAACCCAGTAGGTCACAGTGGTGGGGCGAGGGGAGGGGCTCTTCCCACTCACCTTTCCCTGAAGCTATTGCTTTTTCATCTGCCTTTGTATAATGCACCACCCATGACCAGCCACCTAGTCTCATCAGCTCCCATGTGGAATCCACGGCTGTGATATAAGATATCCTCCCTTAGACCCAAACCAGAACTTCATCTCAGTTACAGGCTGGTTGCCACAAGCTGAACACCTCTGAGGCAAGTCTCTGAATAGAACTCAGATATGTGTGTCTAGTAGGCACTTGGTGCCCATTCACGAGTCTCTAGGGCAGCTGAAACTCCATGTCCTGGCCTCTGACGTCTGTCCACTCACTGATTCCATCATCTGTTTAGACTGCATTTCCATTCTAGAGGATGAGGCCAAAATCCATGGACCCATGTCTATTACCTCCCCCTCTTTCTTTCACTTTCCACATTGTAGCATCCAGCTACAATGGACTGAAAAAATCCAAAATCCATCTGCTTCCCCAATTCCTCAGTCAGCACTCTGGCCAAGGCTTGCCACCCTCACTCACTGACTTAACATCGAATCCTTATAGGCCCCTTTCTGCTCTCTCTGATGCCATCTACTTTCCCCTCTGCAGTCAGACAGTGCCTGAGAACTAATCAGATCACGTGCCCACAGCACCTCAGACATGCCACTGATAGCAGCACACTCAGATTACAGGCTGTGTTCTTCAGGCTGCCACTGCAGCCCAGGCAAGCTATTCCCTCCAACACAGGGGTAGGGTCCCTCAGCACTCGGTCCAGCCTCATTTTCAGGCATTTGCACACCCTCACTCCTGAGGCCAAAACAGCTTTCTACACTGATTTTAATTAAGAAACGGGAGCCCTTCATTTAGCCCGTGGCCACGGGACAAGGAGCAAGACAAGATCTCGAAAAGACACTAGGGGTACTCCCTCCCGCTAAAGTGCTCCGGGATGAGGTGTGTCCTACCGGAGCTGCGCGAGAGCCACCGGGCACCTCTCTCTCACCCGTGCTGGGTCACTCGGCGCTGCCGCCGCCATCGGACCCAAAGATCCTTTGAGCTCATGGAGCTCACACTCCACTGGCCAAGGTGACAGGGTCCACTGTCGAGTTCGGTGCCTCGTCTCCACTATGTGCTTGTGTTCTGGGTTCAGGTCGCTGCCTCTGGATTGCAGGGACTGTAGGCGAGGGCAGAGGGCGACCCCGCGACAGAACTCGCTGCTTGGAGGAAGTCGCGGAGTTCGGTCCGGAGGAGGGCCCTAGGAAACGGTCGGCTGTCCCAAGGACGGTGCGGGACGACCTGTCAGAGCCAAGATGAACTTGCAGTATGGCGACGCTGGAAGTTCCTGTCCTGTTGGCGAACCGCTGGAAGAGAACACCCCTGGGTCTTCTGGTTAGTGTAGTTTCGGCAGGCCGTAGCGTGCGCTTTGTCTTCTCCATGGCAACGCCCTAGCAGCACCGAGAGGACTTCTGGGAAATGAGTCCAAAAGGTTTTAAATGCCGGGGTGTGGATTACACTCCTCTTAAAGGGGCTGTTCTTGGATCTTCTCCCTTGGACAGGTCATTTAGTGATCATTGCCAAGTTCTGGGATTCCAGCTTCTCTGCAGTCTAGTGAATCGGAAGATCTGAGTTCTCTGAGCTTTCACAAACCCTTCCAGGACATCTGGTTTTCCTCAGGGTCAGCCATAGTCCAGTGGCAAATTTGGGGTAGTATTTCCTTCTGAGAGAGAACAGGAAAAGAGCTCAGCACAGGGTGAAACACATAGTGCTGAACACATGAGAGCTGCTGCTGCTTTATATATTGAAAAGGCAGGTTTACAGAGAGGAGGAAAGACCTATCCACCGATTCACTTCCCAAATGGCTGCAATGGCCAGAGCTGAACTTCTCCAGAGCCAGGAGCCTCTTTTGCATCTCCTTTGCAGGTGCAGGGTCCCAAGGACTTGGGCAATCCTTCACTGCTTTCCCAGGCCATAAGCAGGGAGCTGCATGGGAAGAGAAGCAACCAGTACATGAACTGGCACCCACATAGGATACCAGAACTTGCACATGGAAGATTAGCCAGTTGAGCCACTGTGCTGGCCTGTGTTGTTCTTATCCTCATTGCTGTGAGTTGCTTGCAGCTGTCTACTATCTCTGCCTCTAAAATAAACAGATAACAGTTTAGACAGACATTAACCTATGCATGTAAAGAAAAATGGGAATTTTTAAATGATTTTTTTTTCTTGGAAAGTCAGATTTATAGAGAGGAGATATGGAAAGAAAGATCTTCTGTTGCTGTTTATTCCCCAAGTGGCTGCAACGGCAGGAGCTGAGCTGATTGCAAAACCAGGAGCCAGGAGATTCTTCTAGGTCTCCCACATGGGTGCAGGGTCTCAAGGCTTTGGGCTTTTCTCTACTGCTTTCCCAGGCCACAAACAGGGAGCTGGAAGGGAAGCAGAGCAGCCAGGATATAAACCAGCACCGATATGGGATCCCGGCACCTTTAAGGTGAGGATTTTAGCTGTTAGGCCACCATGCTGGGCCTCCAAAATTGGAATTTTTTAAACTTTTTTTTTTAAGATTTATTTATTTTTATTGGAAAGGCAGATATGCAGAGAGGAGGAGAAACAGAGAGGAAGATCTTCCGTATGATGGTTTACTCCCCAAGTGACTGCAATGGCTAGAGCTGAGCCGATCTCAAGCCAGGAGCTCTTCCAGATCTGCTTCGCAGGTGCAGGGTCCCAAGGCTTTGGGCTGTGCTCGACTGCTTTCCCAGGCCATAGGCAGGGAGCTGGATAGGAAGCAGGGCCATCGGGATTAGAACCGGTGTGCATATGGGATCCTGGCGCGTGCACGGTGAGAATTTTAACCACTGCGCTATTGTGCCGAGCCCCAAAATGGGAATTTTTTTTTAAAGGTTTATTTTTATTATTTTTTCATTGGAAAGGCGGATATACAGAGAGGAGAGACAGAGAGGAAGATCTTCCGTCTGATGATTCACTCCCCAAGTGAGCGCAACGGGCCGATACTATGCCGATCCGAAGCCAGGAGCCTCTTCCGGGTCTCCCACGCGGGTGCAGGTTCCCAAAGCTTTGGGCCGTCCTTGACTGCTTTCCCGGGCCACAGGCAGGGAGCTGGAAGGGAAGCGGGGCTGCCGGGATTAGAACCAGCGCCCATATGGGATCCCGGGCGTGCAAGGCGAGGACCTTTAACCACTTGCGCCACCGCGCCGGACCCCAAAATGGGAATTTTTAAAGAAAGTATAATACAGTGAGGAAACAAGCCCTTAAAGCAGGTCAGCAATCAGACCTAAAGTGATTGATCTGGTTCTGTAACCCTTTTCCTGGGGGCAGTTCAAGGGTACCCTCTGCATGAAGGGTGCTATAGGTCCAGCAACTGTGCTGCACTAAATTCCTAGGAAGAAACCCCAAAACCCTCCATAAATTCCCAGAAGAGGGAGGTAAAATGGGGGACCCTTATTTTTCCCTAAAGACTCCAGACTGGACAGTCTAAGCTCTCAGTTCTCTTCTGAGACGCCCGCCTGCACTGTCAGGTGTGTTTCTCTTCATTCAACTTTGCTGTCTTGCTTACCACACTCTGTGTCTCACGTCTGAAATGTTTCTTGCATAGAGGCATGAAACTGGGCAGATGCCGCTGGTAATGCAGGCAGCTCAAACATCTCCTCGACATAGGGCCCCCAGCACTGCTCCATCACTGAAGTGCAGCTCGGTTTCAAAGGCCTTCCAGCTTGGATGCTTTTATGAAGGAGCTCCAGGCATGCTCCTGCTGCTGGCAGGTCTCAGGATTAACCATGTGGCTTTGCGGACATGTAGAACGCAAACATTTGGGGTCATGGCAGTTTCCACCAAGATGTCCAAGGAAAGCCTGGGAGGGCTATAGGACTGCAGCCCTTGTGGGGAACAGTATATGAGATGCCTGCCAACAACAACATAAGTGATGTGGCAGGCCAGCTGGGAAAGCTGCAGACATCCGTGCCTAGCTTCAGAGCAGATACGTTGGTATAAGACCCACAGAGCTATGCAGGAGACAGCTAGGTCTTAGAGACACTGAGTGGACTTTGACTGCTGGCTTGTTGGCTGAATTACTGGTTAAAATACCATGTGCTTAGATAGCCAAACTCATGATATTGATTGTTTACAGTGATATTTCACAAAAAACCAACAAGGGCCCAGTACCATGGCCTAACGGCTAAAGTCCTCGCCTTGAATGCACCAGGATCCCATATGGATGCCAGTTCTAATCCTGGCAGCCCCACTTCCCATCCAGCTCCCTGCTTGTGGCCTGGGAAAGCAGTCGAGGACGGTCCAAAGCCTTGGGACCCTGCACCCATGTAGGAGACCCAGAAGAAGTCCTGGCTCCTAGCTTCGGATTGGCTCAGCTCTGGCCTTTGTGGTCACTTGGGGAATGAATCATCGGACAGAAGATCTTCCTCTCTGTGTCTCCTCCTCTCTGTACATCTGACTTTGCAATAAAAAATAAATCTTTAAAAAAAAAAACAGTGGCTAGATCTTTGTCTTTGTCTCTTCTGTGATTCTGACTTTCCAATAATTTATTTCCAGTGATTTATTTTTATTGGAAAGGGAGATAAGATTTAGGGAGAAGAAAGAAAGATCTTGATCCACTGGTTCACTCCCCAAATGGGCACACTCGCCAGAGCAGAGCCAGTCCAAAACTAGGAGCCAGCAGCTTCTTCCAGGTCACCTACGCTGGTACAGGGTCCCAAAGCTTTGGGTCATCCTTGACTGATTTCCCAGGCCACAAACAGGGAGCTGGATGGGAAGCAGAGCAGTCAAGATATGAACCAGCACCCATATGGAATCCCAGCGTTTGCAAGGTAAGGATTTAGCCATTGATCTAGCGCACCGGGCCCCAGCATTTTTGTCTTAATGAGCAGACACCTCATCTTGCTGCTTGTGTCATGCAGTTATGACAGATCATAGCCATTTCCCTACCTTTGCACTGGCTCGTCCTGTGAATAGTACCAAAAGCAGCCTGTTTTGCCTGCATGCTCTCAGATCACGTGGTTCTTGTCACCTGCTCTGGGTAGAGCCAGGGGGCTCCCAGGGGCTGGAGATCTGGCCCTTCAGCCCCATCTCCACCCAGGCCATTCTGGGAGTCAGTATTTCCCACAGAATATATTATAAATATGGGGCACACATTGGTCTCCTGGTTGAGACTAGTTGGTATCCATGCTTTCCACACTGGCATACCTGGGTTTGAGTACAAGCACCATTCTTGACTCTAGCTTCCTGCTGGTTTAGACCCTGGGAGGCAATGGTGGTGGCTCAAGTTAGTTGGGTTTTTGCCATTCGTTTCATATGGGAGATCTCGTTGAAGTGCCTAGCTTCCTGCAGCTATTTGAAAGCAATATCAGACGCAAAATAAATTTTAGGCTAGGGACTTGAAGTAGTGAACTGGTCTTATCTCTACAGGACACTAACAGATCAAGTCATCAACCTGTGCCCAAAGCCACATGGCTAGGATTTGAATCTCTAGCTCTGGGCCAGAGCTCTTTCACCTCATCAAAGGAGAGGCTTCTCTCTCCTTTGTGCTAACTGCTAGTGTAGCTTCCAGGAACTAATGCTGTTTCCATTTTTTTTTTTTTAGAATTTATTTTATTTTTTTATTTGAAAGTCAGATACACAGAGAGCAAGAGAAACAGAGAGGAAGCTCCTCCATCTGCCAATTCACTCCCCGAGTAGCTGCAACGGCAGGAGCTAAGCCAATCTGAAGCCAGGAGTCAGGAATTTCCAGGTCTCCCACTCGGGTGCAGAGTCCTAAGGCCTCAGACCATCTCCAACTGCTTCCCCAGGCCACAAGCAGGGAACTGGATAGGAACTGGGGCTGCCGGGACATGAACCAATGCCCACATGGTATCCTGGTGCGTGTGAGGTGAGGACTTCAGCTGCTGGGCTACCGTGACAGGCCCTGTTTTGATTTGATTTATTTTAAGATTTATTTATTTTTATTGGAAAGACAGATATATAGAAAGGAGACACAGCGAGCTTCACTCCCCCAAGCGGCAGCAACAGTAGGAACGAAGCCAATACGAAGCCAGGGACCAGGAGCCTCCTCCTGGTCACCCTTGTGGTGCAGGGTCCCAAGTCTTTGTGGCCATCCTCCACTGCTTTCCTAGGCTACAAGAAGGATTTGTTTTGTTTACGCACCCTGCCCATTTAGTGGGGCTTGCATGGACTTTAGAACCCAGGAAAGAACTTGAGAGGGGAACCCTCAGTTGCACCTGGGGACGGTCACGGGACTACATTACCCAGGGTCCTGTGCAGTAATGCTGATCATTGTCATGGAGATTGCAAAGCACATTTGTCATGGCAGGAAATTAGGCAGAACTACACTGCCCAGAAGGCTCTCCGCTTTCGTCCTTGGTGTGCATTGGACCAATGAGAGTTTGGGAAGAGTGGACTTCCGGCGTCATAGACTGTCACTTTGCTGCCCGGCGTTGAGTCGCTCACGTGATTAGGACCACTCAGGTGGCCCTGTGGTTCGTTTTCCAGGAGGTTCTGGTGATCCGACGTGAAGGTGGTGAGGAATGCCCTGGCGGCGGGCTTTGTGGTACCTGCGCCGGTGCGAGCATCAGGGACGCCCCCCCCCCCCGACTGGGTTTCTGTGTGGAGTGGGTGGCTCGTGGGGGTGGGTGGGCGCACCCCGAGCCTTGCTGTGCAGCTCGCAGAGCACTGTGCCCCTTGACTGACTGGGAGACTGAGCTTGGGAGAGATCGGGATGGATAGTTCCCGGGTCGTCCACCTTGGAGCCCCGCCCCAGGTGCATGTTCAGATGGCTGCAGTAGGAGGGGGTGCTTAACCCACCTGCTCCTGCTAAGTGAGGCTTCCTTCACAGACACAAGCCCCCTTCAAGGGGAGCACATTGCGAATTACCTTCCCCATTTGCTTCCCTGGGCCTCAAGCCAGGTCCCTCCAACCCAGACCCTGGTGGCATGCATGTGGCCCTCATTGCTAATGCCAAGGCACCTGTAAAAGGGAAGAAGGGTGAGCGTTGCTGGCGTGGTACCCAGGGAGAAGTGACTACATGACCACGGAGCTGGAACCTTATCGTAGGGGCCTCTGGGGCCATGGAAGGTTTTGAATAGAAATGTTTGGCTAGCATAGCAATTGGACACTTGGGATTTGGAAAAAAAAAAATCCAACTTCACTGAGTATAGTCATGGGGCAAGTGTTGGTCTGAAAGGAGAAGGCACCTGAGCTGCGTGGGAGATGGGGCAATGGGACTGGGTAAAGTGGCTGAATTCTAGATAGATCTGCAGTATGTCAAGTGTGGGCTGTGAGTGAGTGTTGTGTGGCTGGAGCATGGAGCTGCTGTAGACAGACGGGAGTTGCGAGGGAAGGTGGGTTTATTGCGGGGAAAGGTGCAGGGTTCCCAGGATTCTGCAGTGTACAGGGTGGCACCATGGAACCTGAAGCTGTAGATATCTAGTGGACTGGGTTCTGGCATCCTCGGCCAAAGCAGGACCTGGACGTTGGACAGAGGAGGGGTGGTCCTAAGACTTGGCCAAGTTTTGGCAGTTCTGGCTGGAGAGCAAGGAAGAGTGGTGGCTAGGGACAGTCTAGCAGAGCCTAGGAGAGGGGAGGGAGCCAGCAAAGTAGAAAGGAAACAGTGGGGGCACCTCTGTGAGGGACAAAATGGTATCTGCCATGCCTTGGGATCACCTCGTATGGCCAGATACTTCAGCCCAGACCCTCAGCTGGAGGAACAGCCATGAAATGTTGACAAGCATAGCAGGAGGGTCCCCAGGACGGACATATCCTTGGGGTTTACAGCTGGGACTTCTGTCGGTGCATGAAGAGCAGCTGGGAAGGGCAGAGAGTTTGCCCTGGGATGCCCTTGATGTGGCAGCCAGCTGGTGGTGGAGCTTTTTACTTGTCTGTAAAGCCACCCCAGAAGAGTCTGGGGAAGTCTCTGTGTCTCAGACTGGGGCAGGCCCTGGAGGAAGCGGGGTGAGTTACCTGAGAGAGGTGAGAGGAGATGCGACCTGCATGGAAAGCTGGGTCCTGGGTCACAGAGCATCTCCTTACACCGTGCATCTCCTCCCACCCACTGTTGCAGAGCCCGATGGCTTTCGAGGATGTGGCCGTGTATTTCTCCCAAGAGGAGTGGAGTCTCCTGGACACAGTGCAGAGAGCCCTGTACCGGCAGGTGATGCTGGAGAACTTCGCTCTTGTGGCCTCCCTCGGTAAGGCCATGGTCCTCTGTGCCAGACTGGGCCCCCAATACTGCCCTCTCACCTCTCTGGTGGCTCCGAACAGACTTAGTTCTTGCCAAGGCCCCCTGAGATACTTGGGTCAGCCGGTACGCCATCCAGTTGGCTCAGCCATTCCCTGTAGCCCTGCTTGGCAGGCTGTTACCTTCCTATGCCTGCACTTCAGCACTTTGGCCATAGTTGCCACTCATGGGGACCTTTGGACTGTCCCTGTGACTTGACCTTCAGTTTTCCAACAGTGGAATGGCACCATCTGTCTTCTGCCTTCTATCAGAAGGTGGGCTTCTCATTTTTTCTCCTTCTTGCTCGCACAGGACTCTCTGCTTCCCGACCTCATGTGGTTGTCAAGCTTCAGCGTGGTGAGGAGCCCTGGGTCCCCAGTGGGATGGCTATGACCTCAGCCAGGAACACACAGAGAAGGCCCAGTCCTAGTGAGTGGGGACTCAAGGTGGGGCTACTCAGGACTGGGGATAAGCATTTGTCTTCCCACTCAGGCTACCCAGACGTAACCTCCTTCCTGCCTCTCACCCTCCTCCCTCTGCTCCCATCCTCAGCCCCTTCTAGAGCTGTTGGCATGGAGTGCCTTTATGAGGACAGTCCCATAGTCAGCATGTCGCATAGCCACGTTGGCCCGTGATGCCAATTTCCCATGTTCATGGCAGTTCCCATCTCCGCTGCTCTCCTGATCCAGTTTCTTACTGATGGCCATAGAAAAGCAGTGATAGGTGGCTCACATACTTGAGCCCCTGCCACCACTTGGGAGACCAGCATGGAGTTCCTGGCTCCTTGGTTTCACCTTTGTGTCCATCTGGGAAGGGAACCAGAGGACACAAGATATCTCTGTAACTCTTTCAAATAAATATATTTTTTGTTAAGAGGAGAGCTCCAAGGACATAGGAGCTGGGTTCACAAAGGGCACGTCTAGGCTGGCAGATTCATTCCTTTCTCCTCTCATTCATGTACTCCAGTGTTCCTTAAACACTTACCAGGGACACTAATTCCAGGTAGTGGAAAAACAGTCACAGCCTGACCGGATGTTTTTAGTCCGGCCTTTGTGAATTCAGTGCTTGAGAGAACACCTGTGCACAGGAGTCACGAGTAAAACAGAGGGAGACCTGTGCAGAAAGCAAAAGCAGGCCTAGGCTGTGAGGGCAGAGTGGGGGCAGAGTGGGGACAGCAGTTTTCCTCTGGAGTGTTCCCTGATACAGTAAATGCCACATTTGTTGATTTATTTGTAATATGTATTTATTTGATATTAGGGTTATAGAGGGAGACAGAGAGAGAAAGAGATCTTCCACCTGCTGTTTCACTCTGCAGATGGCCACAACAGGCAGGGCTGAGCCAGGCTGAAGCTAGGAGCTGGGAGCTTCCTCTTGGTCTCCCACATGGGTGCAAGGATCAAAGCACATGAGTCATCTTTCACTGCTTTCCTCAGCATGTTTGCAGGGAGCTGGGTTGGAAGTGTAGCACCAAGACTTGAACCAGCACCCCTATGAGATGCAGGCATCCCAGGTGGCAACTTAATAATATACAACACTTGCCCCAAGTTCCACACTTGCCATGAAAGATGCTTCCCTTCCACTGTACCCATTCCTGCAGGACAGCCCAAGTCTTTGCTTTTCTCTATATCCTTCTATACCTAGTCCCTGGGGTCCTCTCCTTGTTGCCCACTCAGGCACCCACTATTTGTCTTCAGGATCCCGACGCCCAGCAGAGAACAGAGATGCTTCTGGAAAAGCAGCACTGCCAACAACTTTCCTCAGTAGCCCCCCTGGAGCATCTTCTAGTGTCCTGCCCACTGCTGGTGCCTGCCACGCTGCAGGAATCCAGGAGAGAAAACCCTCAGGGGTGTCGGTGATCTACTGGGAAAGGCTTCTGCTAGGCTCAGGCAGCGGTGATGCCTGCATCAGCCTGCGACTGACCTCGCCCCTGAGGGCTCCTGGGGGCAGCCCGTCCACGGGCTCGGCCCCTGCAGACTGTCCCACCCCGACCTCTGAGCGCCAGAAGCCATTCCCACAGCCATGCTCTGGGTCAGCTTTCCCAAGTGTTCCAGCCCTTGATGCTGATCGTGCCAGAGGGGAACGAAGAACGGTGGGTGCGACTTGGCATGAGCTTCAGAGACTCCCGGATGGCCAGGATCCCCCAACATGGCAGGAGCTGGGTGAGGCCCTCCACCCTGGCTCCGGCAGCCACTCTGGGGAGAAACCCTTTGAATGCCGAGCGTGTAGCAAAGTGTTCGTGAAGAGTTCCGATCTTCTCAAGCACCTGCGCACGCACACCGGGGAGCGGCCATATGAGTGTGCCCAGTGTGGCAAGGCCTTCAGCCAGACGTCACACCTGACGCAGCACCAGCGCATCCACAGTGGTGAGACACCCTATGCGTGCCCAGCGTGCGGCAAGGCCTTCCGCCACAGCTCCTCGTTGGTACGGCACCAGCGCATCCACACGGCTGAGAAGTCCTTCCGCTGCAGTGAGTGTGGCAAGGCCTTCAGCCACGGCTCCAACCTCAGCCAACACCGCAAGATTCATGCCGGTGGGAGGCCCTATGCCTGCGCACAGTGCGGCCGCCGCTTCTGCCGCAACTCTCACCTAATCCAGCACGAGCGCACACACACAGGCGAGAAGCCATACGCGTGCACTCTCTGTGGCGCTGCCTTCAGCCAGGGCTCATCGCTCTTCAAGCATCAGCGCGTGCACACTGGCGAGAAGCCCTTCTCTTGCGGGCAGTGTGGCCGCGCCTTCAGCCACAGTTCCAATCTGACACAGCACCAGCTACTGCACACTGGCGAGCGACCCTTCCGCTGTGGAGACTGTGGCAAGGCCTTTGCCAAAGGCGCCGTGCTGCTCAGCCACCGGCGCATCCACACTGGTGAGAAGCCCTTTGTGTGTACACAGTGTGGCCGTGCCTTCCGCGAGCGCCCAGCCCTCTTCCACCACCAGAGGATCCACACAGGAGAGAAGACATCACGGCGGCCGAGGAATGGCCCACGCCCCCAGGCCAGGCCTCCTCCTGGGGTGTCATTTGACGGTGTACCCCGGAAAGAAGCAGAGGGCACTCCCCCTCCCTGCCCACCAGCACCTCCAAACCCAGCTGAGACCTGAGGTCACAGCACCAGATGTCTGCCTTTTCTGAATCCCTTCTAAGGCCATACAGGGCCATGACCATGCAAAGAAGCCTTGTGCACGTGAGTCTGGGGTGAGAGGGACTCTAGCGGTGCAAGGGTTTGTCACTTCAGCCACTGCAGATCATACCTTCCCCCAGAGGTCATTTGCAGAAACAACAAGGCTGTGCTCCTGACATCTGGGACTTGGGAGGGGCAGAATTCACAGAGTCACAGCGGCCAACAATGGCAATCCATTTTGATGGTGCCACTTCATGAGTGGGTGGCATGGTGAGGATGATGAGTGGTGGTATGGAGCACGGGCAATCCAGAGAAGTTTCTCACATTTGCATACAGACACTGGGCAGGATGCTGGGGATATTACCCACAGGCCTCTGTTCATCCAAGCCTTCCTATGTGCTAGCCCAGGAGATAGGGTACAAGCCTCAGGCAGGTAGCTGACTCTGAGCTGGGCAGAAGATTCGGGAACACCCTTTGGGTTGGCAGATCCCCCGACAGGGGGATACTAGTGAGAGCCACAGCTGCTCTGCCTTTTGGGCTTCTCTTGACAGCCCTACAAGGTAGCTGCCATGGCTGCATTTCCCCGTACCCACAGGGAGGAGGCAGGAGCCCAGCTGGACTGGCTCAGAGCCTGCCTGTGTGAGTCTGCCAGGTATGAGGCCTGTGCCTGGCTCCCAGGATGCACAGGAAGCCCTCAAAGGAACTTGTGACTCTCAGCATTAGGAAAGCAACATTGAGAAGGATGGCTCCTGATGACACTCAGTCACCTTTTCACCCATTCCTTCGTGGTGGACAAGCCCTTATTCCACCTCTGGTTACCAAAGTCAGTGTTACAGGAACCTTTACTTCCAAGGTGTTGGTTATAGCTTCAGAGGAGACAAGAGAACGGTCATTTGTGGCTGGGTTTGGTGGCCGTGTGCCCACCTCTTCTCTCAACCTAATGGAAAGGTGGACAGAGCTGAATTACCTAAGCCTGTGAAATAGCCCCTGTGTAAGGGCTCCAAGTGATGAGAACCGAAGAGCAGAAGGGTCCAGTTTGCTTCCTGTGGCCTTCAGCAGACCCAACCTGGGGCCTCACCTCCAGGGATGTTAGTGACCATACTAGAGAAAAAGACAGTCTACTAGCATTTATGACTTGGGATGGAGGTAAGATAACCTTAGCTTCCTCTTCTCCACTTCAGGGCATGGTTCCAATTTTCACAAGAATTCAAAGAGGCTTTCTTAAAGATTTCTTGTTAATGTTATTTTGTGAACAGTAACAGTCTGTCTTTTGTTTCACTTTAATGCAATGCAGATAATATTAAATGAATGTACGCAGACATACCATCAGGGTGTTGTCATAGACACCTGGGCATTTGTCTTCAAACTGGGTCCCTTCAAGAGGCTCCTTCAAGGCCCTAATGAGGGACTAGGGCGTCTCTATCTGCTTGATGTCCAGAATGGAAAGAGGTGGCCATGAGACCTGGTGGATGGGTCATGAAGAGTGGGGTGGCCTTTGTGGGAGGGTGGTGGGTAGGGAAATAGGACAAGAGTGTGCTGGTGCTAAGGCAGAGTGAGCGTGACCACTTCCCATTGACTCTAGCCCAGTGGGTGTAAGAAGTCATTCCCTCCAAGACTTTTCAGCTGTCTCCTGGAGGGAAGCAGCACAGACATGACTGTCCCTCCAACCCATCATTAGGACAAGACTGACCATCTGCGTCTTAAGTTCCTGCCATTTGGGGAAGTACGCAGGACACAACTTGTCAAGACCTTGCCAAGGCAGTGCTCTGTGCCAGTGCCCTAACGCCCTGTGGGCCCTGAGCCGCTGCCCCACTTTCTTGTACAGATTCAGCCTGCAGGGCTATGAAATGTAGACAAGCTCTCGATCCTGCCTGACCGAAAACTCTTCCTGGGATTCTGTCGGAATCAGGAGCACAGACATCTGTCAAGCAACAGGGGGATCCAGAGAGGTACAGGACACCCTTTTCCATTCCTTGGTCAAAAGCTGCAGATCTGAGCCCTCCTGATCCCTCCGGCTGGCTCAGTGCCCTCTGCCGCCTCCCCAGCAGCCTGCCCCTATCAGGCTTCTGTCCTCTGTGCCCGTCTACTGTCCCAATCTGCCCTAATAGCCTGACCTTGCCAGTGGCCCCAGCCTGGGCCCCCTCCTCCTGAAGCTTGCCCTCTTGTTTACCCGTCTGTAATTTCTGTAGTCCTTTTGGACCAGCACTCTGCGTCTTAATCCTGGAGTTTCCCTGACTGTAAAAGTGTTCCTTCATTTTCTTGGTCAAAATGTTGAACGGGGGGACTGGTGTGATAGCCTAGCAACTAAAATCCTCCCCTTGCATGCTCTGGGAACCCATATGGGCACTGGTTCATGTTGTAGCAGCCCTTCTTCCCATCCAGCTCCCTACTTGTGACCTGGGAAAGCAGTGGAAAACAGCTCAAAGCCTTGGGACCCTGTGCCCTCATGGGAGACCCAGAGGCAGCTCCTGGCTCCTGATTGGCTCAGCTCTGGCCATTGCAGCCGCTTGGGGAGTGAATCAACCAACAGAAGATCTTCCTCTCTGTCTCTCCTCCTCTTTGTATATCTGTCCTTCCAATAAAAATAATCTTAAAAAAAATGTTGAACAGGGGGTGGACGTTTGGCTTAGCAGCAAAGCTATACATTTTGATATCCCTGCCTTGGATTCCTGATTCCAGCTTCCTGCAAATACCCTGGGAGGTGGGCAGTGATGACTTAAGTAACTGATACCGCCCAGGTGGGAATGGACTGAGTTCCCAGCTTCAGCTGGAGCTGTGACTGCTGTGGCTTCCACCTTACTTTCTTCCCTCTGCCAAAGTAACTCCCACCTTTGGCTAACTGTGCCAGCCTTTGGGGAGTAAAGTGGCAGACAGGAGCTCTCTTACTCTCTAACTCTGCATTTCCAATAGATAAATATTTATTTATAATTGAAAAGTCAGATTTACAGGGAAAAGGAGAGAAAAAGAGAAATATCTTCCATCTGCTGGTTCACTCCCCTAGTGGCCACAGCAACCTGAGCTGAGCTGATCAGAATCCAGGAGCCTCAAGCCTCCTCTGGGTCTCCCATGTGGGTGCAGAGTCTCAAGGCTTTGGGCTCCTCAATTGCTTTCCTAGGCCATGAGCAGGGAGCTAAAAGGAAAATGGAGCAGCAAGGATATGAAGCAGTACCCATATCAGAGCCCGGAGCATGCAAGGGAGGACTTTAGTCACCAGACTACCATGCTGAACCCCCAATAAATAAATCTTTACAATCTATGTATTTATTGGAAAGGCAGATTTACAAAGAGAAGGGCAGACAAAGCTCTTTCATCCATGGGTTCACTCCCCAAATGGCCATAATGGCCAGAGCTGAGCTGATAAAATATAAATAAATAAAATAAAATAATAAGTATGTATTTTCTAAAAAGCACCAGCACTTTCCCACCCTAGTAGGTGGTAAAAGAATTCTCTAGCAAATCTTCACTGCTCCAAGGAAAAGATCAAACAACACATTGATGAAGCTGTTGATTAGCTCAGAGCTGACATGCCCACACTGGTTCAGAGTTGACATTCCATGTTTGACACCACTGCTGGTTTGTTTTTTTTTTTTTAAGATTTATTTTATTTTTACTGCAAAGTCAGATATACAGAGGAGAGTGAGAGAGGAAGATCTGTCTGATGACTCACTCCCCAAGTGACAGCAACAGCCGGAGCTTCCGATTCAAAGCCAGGAGCATGGAACCTCCTCCCTGTCTCCCATGTAGGCTACTGGTCCCAAGGCTGTCCTCAACTGCTTTCCCAGGCCACAAACAGGGAGCTGGAAGGGAAGCAGAGCCCCCAGGACACAAATCCACACCCATATGGGATCCCGGTCATGCAAGGTGAGGACTTTAGCCACTAGGCTACCACACCCGGCCTAACACCACTGTTGTTTATCCAGAGCAGTGCATCAGGAATGCTAGGTATCACAAGAAACCACAGAGGGGAAAAGGAAAAAAAAAAGTAGCTGGCTTTCCATTAGGGATCTGGGTCAAGTCCTGGCTGTTCCACTTCCCATCCAACTCCCTGCTTATGGCCAAAGAAAGCAGCAGAGGATGGCCCAAAGCTCTGGGACTGGGAAGAAGCTCCTGGCTTTCTGGCCCAGCCCTGGCCATTGTGGACATCCAGGGAGTGAACCAATGTAAGATCTTTGTCATCATTTTCTCTGTAACTCTGACCTACAATTTTTAAAACTATTTTTATTTGAAAAGCAAAATTTTCAAGGAGGACAGAAAGATCTTCCATTTGCTAGTTTACTCCTCAAGTGGCTGCAATGGCTGGAGCTGAGCCAAAGCCAGGAGCCAGGAGCTTCTTCTGGGTCTCCCACACAGGTGCAGGGTCCCAAGGCTTTGGACCATCCTCCGCTGTTTTCCCAGGCCACAGGCAGGGAGCTGGAAGGGAAGTAGAGCAGCACAAACTGGTGCCTAAATGGTATCCCCGTGCTTGCAGGAGATAGGATTATCCAATTGAGCTTCCTTCACTCCCACCCCACTCCTGGTTCTGAATAAATCTTAAAACAGTCACATTAAATACAGGTTACCCTGTTCAGTAAAAGTGAAAAAGACTGGGCACCTCCCTTAAACTTGGATGGAAACTTTATCTCATTAAAGGCACATCAGAGGCTTGGTAACCGTTCTGGGTAGTTCCTACACACCGGGTTCCCGCCGCCCTCGTATTTACGCGGGCCAATAAAGGACTCCAGTTTCTTACTCTCGGGATAAACACCTGAGTCAGCGAATAAAGCCACGATGCAGGAAGTCTTCTAGGCCAGACCACCTCCGAGGACACCCTGAAGGCGAGTCTCCCCGACCCGATGATCGACGCGGCTGCTGAAGGCTTCTGCTCGAGCGAGAGGACGCTCCTGCTGTTGCCGTGGAAACAGCTGGAGGCGGGCGGAAGTGCTCCACTTGTTACCTAGGGAACGTCTGGGCGCAGTAAAGTGACCTCAAGACGACGAAGGCGCAGAAGCCTGGACTAAGCGATGCATCTGATTGGGCCAAAAATTACTTCTCCGCCCCACCCCTCGCCAATGGACGCCAGGTCCGCTGTGCGCAGGCGCAGTGTTTTGTCGCGCCGCCCACGCTGACTGCAGGTGAGTCCCGGGGCTTTGGGGGAGATAACTCTGAAAACTACTTCACGGCTGAAGCCGCCCGGAGAAGCGGCGCGGCTCTCCGTCGTGGGGACGCCTCAGGAAGCTGCGCGCTCGCTTGCCGAGGTCGCGCCTGCGCTGCGATTTTGAGGCTCATGGGAACCGTAGTACGAAGGGAGGGGCGTGTGTGGCTGGTGTCACCTCCTGGGAGTGGGCTGTGGCCAGGGCGGCGTGTGTGGCTGGTGTCACCTCCCGGGAGTGGGCCGTGGCTGGTGCAGTGTGTGGCTGGTGTCACCTCCCGGGAGTGGGCTGTGGCCAGGGCGGCGTGTGTGGCTGGTGTCACCTCCCGGGAGTGGGCCGTGGCTGGTGCAGTGTGTGGCTGGTGTCACCTCCTGGGAGTGGGCTGTGGCCAGGGCGGCGTGTGTGGCTGGTGTCACCTCCCGGGAGTGGGCCGTGGCTGGGGCGGTGTGTGTGGCTGGTGTCACCTCCTGGGAGTGGGCCGTGGCTGGGGCGGTGTGTGTGGCTGGTGTCACCTCCTGGGAGTGGGCCATGGCCGGGGCAGTGTGTGGCTGGTGTCACCTCCCGGGAGTGGGCCGTGGCTGGGGCGGTGTGTGGCTGGTGTCACCTCCCGGGAGTGGGCCGTGGCTGGGGCGGTGTGTGGCTGGTGTCACCTCCCGGGAGTGGGCTGTGGCCGTGGCTGGGGCGGTGTGTGTGGCTGGTGTCACCTCCCGGGAGTGGGCTGTGGCCGTGGCCGGGGCGGTGTGTGTGGCTGGTGTCACCTCCCGGGAGTGGGCCGTGGCTGGGGCTGTGTGTGGCTGGTGTCACCTCCTGGGAGTGGGCCGTGGCCGGGGCGGTGTGTGTGGCTGGTGTCACCTCCTGGGAGTGGGCCATGGCCGGGGCAGTGTGTGGCTGGTGTCACCTCCTGGGAGTGGGCTGTGGCTGGGGCTGTGTGTGGCTGGTGTCACCTCCTGGGAGTGGGCTGTGGCCGGGGCTGTGTGTGGCTGGTGTCACCTCCCGGGAGTGGGCCGTGGCCGGGGCGGTGTGTGTGGCTGGTGTCACCTCCCGGGAGTGGGCCATGGCCGGGGCAGTGTGTGGCTGGTGTCACCTCCTGGGAGTGGGCTGTGGCCGGGGCTGTGTGTGGCTGGTGTCACCTCCTGGGAGTGGGCTGTGGCCGGGGCTGGGGCTGTGTGTGGCTGGTGTCACCTCCCGGGAGTGTGCTGTGGCTGGGGCAGCACGGATGGCTGGTGTCACCTCCTGGGAGTGGGCCGTGGCCGGGGCGGCGTGTGTGGCTGGTGTCACCTCCTGGGAGTGGGCTGTGGCTTGGGTGCTGTGTTGGCTGGTGTCACCTCCCAGGAGTGGGCCATGGCTGGGGCGGCATGAGTGGCTGGTGTCACCTCCTGGGAGTGTGCTGTGGCCGGTGCGGTGTGGTTGACTCTTTGTTTCCACATTAGTCCCTTCTGCACTCAGGTCCCTATGCCTGTCTCTTGCCCACCCCTGGCCTCTGCCCCAGGCTGGTCCCAGTAGCAGGCACACTGATCTCTCCTTTCCTTTAGATCCCTCTTGGCAGCTCCAGGAAGACAACTTGGACAAGAATGCCCTCTCCGCTGGGTCCCCCACACCTGTCCGTCTCCAGCCCCAAGTCCCTGCTTGAAGAACCTGAGGCTGCGCGCCTGCGCTTCCGGGGTTTCCGTTACCAGGAGGTGGCGGGTCCGCGAGAGGCCCTGGCCCAGCTCCGCGAGCTGTGCCGCCAGTGGCTGCAGCCTGAGCTGTGCTCCAAGGAGCAGATGCTGGAGCTGCTGGTGCTGGAACAGCTTCTGAGTACACTGCCCCCCGAGATCCAGGCCTGGGTTCAGGACCAGCGGCCAGGCAGCCCTGAAGAGGCTGTGGCCTTGGTGGAGGGGCTGCAGCATGACCCTGGGCAGCTGCTGGGCTGGGTGAGTGTGGTTGGCATTGGCTTTTTGGAGGGACAGATGTAGGCTGGAGCCTCTGTGAACTTCCTCTTCTTTGCAGATCACAGTACATGTCTTGAAGCAGTCAGTGCTCCCTGTGACCCAGAAGCCTGAAGAGTCCTTGGAGAGCCCCCGACCCTCAGGGACGGCAGAGACCCCTGGGGCAACCCTTGGGGAGGGTTTGCAAGATGCCCGGATGGAGAAGTCTACCCAGCTCAGCTGCAGTGTGAAGGAAGAGCCTGGTGTTGATAGGCAGGAGCTGGGTGAGGAGGCCTCACCAGAGCTAGGGGCTGCTGGAGGGATTGTCTGTGTCCCTGGCTGGGATGAAGACCCTAGAGGGACAGCAGAGTTGGGTCTGGGAGGCCGGGGTTGGAGACAGGCTGCCCTCCACAGCACACAATAGAGGTGGGCCAGGGCCGCAATAGGACACAGTGTATATGCCGTGGCTCCTGTGGAGACCCCTTGCTGTCTGTCCACTCCCCAGCAGGCCACAACACCCTGCTTCCTGCCCAATCCTCTAAGGGGCACCTTGGACATGGAGAACAAGCTTGTACTTCCTTCCAGCCACCTAGGACTCAGGTGAGCAGCTGCAGCCCAGATGGGAAGTGCCAGCCCTAGGTGCAGGAGGAGTGAGGTCTGGTGGCTGCCCTCTGGTCTCCTAGGTACTTTAGCTGGTAGCTGTTGTGCTCTTGGCTGCACCAATAGCACCCACCTCCCCATGTGACACAGGCCCTGGCAGTCTTGCTAGCCCTGGAAAAGATTCAGGCCTCAGGCCATGAAGACCTGGTTCAGAGTGGCTGGACATGGTGGGCTAGGCTTCCGTAGTGCCGGAGAAGCCGGTTGGGGTTTTTGGCTCCTGAGGGCTTGGATGTGCATGGGCAGGGGACAGGATGACCACTGTGGCATAAGTCCTACATACCCTAGGTCAGAATGGAGATATACCACCTGGGAGATGCCAAGTACTTTCTCCTGGTGTGGCCTCTGGATTCTGAGTGTGGGTCCTGGGCATCCTACGCTCTCCCACCCTTGTGCTTCTGTAGCAAGACTGCTGGTTGAGATGACCTCGATGCTCAGCCTTGCCCCCACTCCCCATACACACCCTGGTGCCCTAATAACACAGAACTGTCAGGTGGTGGGCAGGCACCTCCACAGCAGTACACAGAGCCAGCCAGTGCCAACCCCTGAGCCTTTTCACCGACACTGGCACTGCTCACGGACCCGGGGTTCCTTGCTACCTCCTGATCTTGGCCCTCCGAGAATATTTCTGTGAGCAGAGCTTGGCTGGAGCCCCTGGTAGCCCCCTGGGTTTTTGCTCTCCCTTCAGCACACACCATTCAAGGCATAGTGATCATGACTGGCCCTGCCAGGCTACCTCCAAAGCCCACCTTAAGGTTCAGGCTATAGAAGGTGGCAGTGGAGGGCCAGGTGCTTCCGGAAGACCCAGAAGTCACCACTAGCACCCACAGTGCCCCAGCTGGTGAGTCACAGGTCACCTGCCTGCCCTCTCAGGTAGTGAGTAAGGATGCAGAGGGTCAGTGGAAGCAGGTGCCCACGGTGATGGGCAGTATCCTTGCAGGAGGAGTGGGGACTGCTGGACTCATCGCAGAAGGAGCTGTATTGGGATACAATGCTGGAGAAATATGGCACAGTTGTCTCCCTGGGTGAGGAGCCACCCCAACCTGGGTTGTGTATCTGCAGTGCAGCCATTCCCATGTCACCTGCCAGCACCCTCACCTGTCCCTCCTGTATGCTAGCCCCTTGCCTGGTGCTTGACCAGTCCTTACTCCTACCCCAACAGGGTTACCAGCTCCCCAGCCAGCAGTCCAAGTCGAATCCCAGCCTGAGATACCACACATGGAGTCAGAGGTCCATGGGAGCCACTGCCCAGGTGAGCAGTCTTGTGCAACACACTGCCCAGTCCAGGTTGGGAAGAGAGGAAGGCCGTGTCACAGGTGTAGGGCTCATCTGGCTCTGCCCCTTTCTCCTTCCCTAGCAAGTGAGAGCCAGAGCCTCTGTGAGGATCCACCCAGTGGCCCAGAGGCCCAGCCACCCCAGGACTCGGGAGCTGTCACCTGGAAGGGCCAGCTCTCTGGGCCCAGTCCAGGGACATCGTCTGCATGCCCTCTGCCCGCACCCCCAGGGGCCAGGCTAGAACCAGGCGCTGTGCAGAGGAAGCCCTACATGTGCAAGCAGTGTGGCCGTAGCTTTGACTGGAAATCGGTGTTTGTCATCCACCACCGGTCTCATACTGGCGAACAGAGCACAGAGAAGCTGCCCCAGGCTCCCCGGGAATCCCCTACCCCACACCTCCCACGGCGTACTCTCACTGGCCCTCGGAGCTATGCGTGTGAGGAATGTGGATGCAGCTTCAGCTGGAAATCGCAGCTGGTCATCCATCGCAAGAACCATGCCAGCCAGCGACGTCACTTGTGTGGTGACTGTGGCCGGGGCTTCGACTGGAAGTCACAGCTGGTCATCCATAGGAAGAGCCACCAGCAGGAGGTCCCCTGAGTTATGCAGAAGGTGGCCCTGCTTTGGAGGCCTCACATTCCGTGAAGCCTGGCTGCAGCCCCCAACCCCAGCAGTCCACCCGAATTGGGCTATCTCAGCGTGGGAGATGGCAGGCAGCAGGGGACACCAGAGGAATGTGGGGTTCCAGAGGGTCCCCTCCTCCCCCTGCGTAGCCCGTCCTGAAAGGCCACTTGGGCGTGAATGGCCTCCATCCCTGCCTTGGAGTGAGGTCTAGGTTGGGATCCATGGCTGACCAGGTGTCTGACTGATGATGGCTGTACAGGCTGTCCTGGCTGATGTGCACCCTGGGTGTGTCCTCAGAGACCCTGCTGCTCTGTAACTCTGGGCCCTGGGGCTGGTAAGGAAAGTGGCAGCAAGCCAGAACACTCCACAGGACACCCAGACCTGGTAAGTGTTAGAAGCTTGGCATTTGAAGTGGGATGTTTTGACTGAGTCCTGATTCCTGGCTTCAGCTGCCCCGATGAGCCATGTGCCATGTGCTGTGCCTGCTTGCTGTTAGAGGCACAGGGCGACTGAACCCAGAAGATCCAGCCATCCCCATCCCATTGTGCCCATCACACAGGATGACCAGGCAGCTTCCTGCCGCCCAGGGACACTTGTCTGGAGTCCCGGGTGCTGACTTGGACTCGGTGCACTGCTCAGTTTCTTGTTGCTGCTGTAACAAACTGGCTAGAGCAACACATTATAGACCATGAAGGTCGGACTCTGAAATGGGCTTCCGTGCCGAAAGTCCAACCACCAACAGGGCTGGTTCCTCCTTTCAGCCCTGGGAGAGAGGTGGTTTTCTTGCCTTCCCCAGCTCCCAGAGGTCCCCCTATTCCTTGGATTGTGCCTGTTTCAAAGCCAGCAGTGTGTGGCCAGCTCTTCCTCTCTCATCCTCCAGGAGAACGTGCAGGTTATTTAAGTTTGGTTAGACCAAAGGGCTTGGATTGATTTCCAGGGACTCAGGAAGCTGACAGCAGGACCCAGGGCTCACGTCAGTCCTGAGTCCGCGAAGGCCAAGCTGGGATGTAGAGCATTGACGTGCAGGGTCGGGTCAGATGGAGCAAGCTGCAGATGGAGGGCTGCCCCGAGGCAGGTGGGAGGCTTTTAAATGAGGTTTTTCATTTTTAAATGTAACTTGGAACAAATAGGAAAATGGCCCTAATTGTGTTGTTTCATGGTAGTGCTCATTGCAGGGTCCGTATAAGTTTGAAATTCCTCTAATTCCTACTCTTCTCATTCCCAAATCTCCTGATGTCATTAAAATTGTACCATGTTTGTGTTTGGATGAATTTTCCACTTTGTGTACAGCATTGTAATTTCTGCCAAGCCCAGAATTCTTATACTGCCCCTGCCACATGCTTGGGGAAGTAGCTGAAGCCAGGAGTCAGAGTGGACATGGGACTGATACACCGCAGGACACAGCTATCTTAACTGCTTCGTCAACGCACACATACACACACTCAGTTTTTTTTTTTTTTTAAAGATTTATTTTTATTGTTTTTTCATTGGAAAGGCGGATATACAGAGAGGAGAGACAGAGAGGAAGGTCTTCCGTCCGATGATTCACTCCCCAAGTGAGCGCAACGGGCCGATACTATGCCGATCCGAAGCCAGGAGCCTCTTCCGGGTCTCCCACGCGGGTGCAGGTTCCCAAAGCTTTGGGCCGTCCTCGACTGCTTTCCCAGGCCACAGGCAGGGAGCTGAATGGGAAGCGGGGCTGCCGGGATTAGAACCGGCGCCCATATGGGATCCCGGGCGTGCAAAGCGAGGACCTTTAACCACTTGCGCCACCGCGCCGGGCCCCACACACTCAGTTTTTAAAATAATTACAAAGGGGGCCCGGTGCACTAGTCTAGCAGTTAGAGTCCTCGCCTTCAAAGCGCCAGGATTCCATAATGGCACTGGTTCTAATCCCGGCGGCTCCACTTCCCATCCAGCTCCCTGCCTGTGGCCTGGGAAAGCAGTCGAGGATGGCCCAAAGCCTTAGGACCCTGCACCCGTGTGGGAGACCCGAAAGAAGCTGCTGGTTCCTGGCTTTGGATCAGCGCAGCTCCAGCCATTGCAGTCACTTGGGGAGTGAATCATTGGATAAAAGATCTTCCTCTCCTCCTCTGTGTATATATGACTTTCCAATAAAAATAAATGAATCTTTTAAAAAAATAGAGAAAGGGTTGTCTTCCATTAGCTGTTTCACTCCCCAGGAGCTTGGAACTTTAACTGGGTCTTCCATGTGCTGGCAGAGTCCCAAACACTTGGGCCGTCATTCTCTGCCATTCCCAGACTGTTAACAAAGAGCTGTATCAGAATTAAAGCAACAAGGACACAAACCAGTGCCAATATGGGGTTCCAGTATCACAGGCAGCAGCTTTATCCACTGTCCCATACAGTGCCAGCCATGAAAATGTTTTCGTTTTTGTCTCGAGGGCAGAGAAACAGAAACGAGGGGGGGGCGCCCAGCAGGTCAAACTGCTGTCTGATGCCGGCATCTGTCTAGGCTGCTCTACTTCACACTGGGTTCCCTGCTGATATTGCTGCCGGGGAAGCAGTGCAAGGGGATTCAAGAGTTTGGACCCTTGCCACATACATGGGAGACCTGGCTGGAGTCCCAAGTGGCTTGTGTCTGTGCCACCAATATGGGCGATCTGGATGGGGTTCATGATTCACAGCCTGGGTGTGGCCCAACCTGTCTGTCGTAGGCACCTGGAAAGTGAACCAGCAGGTGAGAAGACTGTGTGTTAAAATTTCTGTTTGAAGGGCATAGTGACAGAAAGTGAAAGTCTTCCCCTACTGGTTCACTCACCAAGCATCAACAATGGTTAGGGCCAGGCCAAGTGAAGCCAGGCACTTGTTGCTATTCCTAGGAGGGAACAGATGAAGTGCCTAAGGTACGTGTTAGCAAGAAGCTGGGTTAGAGATGGAGGCAAAACTGAATGTCAGGCCCTCTGATAATGGGATGCAGGCATTCCGAATAGCAGCTTTGCTGGCCAGGTTCCTCCTGAAAGAAACATGAGTGTGGCCAAACTTGCACATAATTTGTTGCAGAAGAGGCAGCCCTGGACCTCAAAGGATGGACAAAGCCTGGGCCTTTGGCCACTGTACATAACCCCAGTCTCCTGAAAGAAACAGGAGTCTGATGGAAACTGACAACCTATTGTGTACAGGAGAGGAGGGCTGGATCTAAGTTAAGCTTAGGGACTTTGGTGCTGTAGGGTGTACACAGAACTCTGTCAGCCAAGTCGGGTAGAGAAATGACAAGGACCACAGCTGCCACTGAAGATGCAGCCTCAGGCCCAGCATGATAGCCTAGTGGCTAAAGTCCTTGCCTTGTATGTGCCAGGATCCCACATGGGCACCACTTCACTTCCCATCCAGCTCCCTGCCATGGCCTAGGAAAGCAGTGGAGGATGGTCCAAAGCCTTGCGACCCTACACCTGGGGGGGGGGGGGGGACACCTGGAGGACATTCCTGGCTTCGGATCGGCGCAGCTTTGACCATTGCAGTTATTTGGGGAATGACTATTCAGACAAAAGATCTTTCTCTCTGCCTCTCCTCCTCCCTCCCTCCCTCTCTCTATATATATCTATCTATCTGACTTTGCAATAAAAATAAATAAATAAAAAAAAAACATCCTCAACTGTGGAAGCCAAGCAGGGCTGCACTGCATTGTCCCTGTGTCCCATCCTATCCCCAGCACCTCCACTACATTCCACATTGCAGGTCTAGTGGACTCAATTCCCACCAAAGCTGATCCAAGCATCACCAGCTCCCCTGAGGGTCTTTGCACAGTAGAGCTGGCACAGGTCCTGTGTATGCCACTTCTCTTGAGTCCAGTTCAAGTCTGGCACCGCTGTCCACAGCCCAGTCAAGGTTAAATCATAGCCTGCAGGTCACTGCCTGGGGATGGTCACTGTTGTGGGGTTGCTGTCATCACACAGCATTATTACCACCAGAATTCACCCACAAGTAGCTGGCCTTGTGAATGTTCCCACAGGGCCCAAGTAGTACAGATGCAGAAGCATCTGAGTCGTTGCACACTGCACTTCCCAGAGGCGTTGCTCTCCGTTCGCTCCCTGCTACTAGGCACCTAGCGGTGCTCTGGCGCTGACTACAGAGCAGAGGCCTTGCTGTCAGCTAGGTGTCAGACTACAACCCCAACAATGCACAGAGAGGCACGCACTTCCTTGAGCCGGTACTGCCCAGTCTGAGGTGATGCGAACCAACCTACATTTCCACATTGCTCTTGGTAGCACTTCCAATGCCAGGTCGGCGCAGACTCGGTTTTCTGCATCTGGGTTCCTGCAAGCACCTTCTGTGGGAACCACAACGCCCTGGAAGCGCTTCAGCCTTTGACTCTGGGCAGACTACACCTCCCGTGGCCCAACTGAGCTCACAGACTGTGCCAAGAGGTACATCTCTAAACTGCCCCTGGTCCTTACCCTCCTGTAGAGTTGAGAAAATGGCTTTCCTCCGGGACGAGTGGGAGGTATTCAGTGAGGAGAACCCCCCTTTTCCAGAGTGAAAGAGTTAATTGTCAAGGTGACTGTACTCCTGGAAGCCTGGAATCTCCAAAGAGACGCCTGCATCCTGTTAGGAAAGAACTGCTGCTTAAAACACCAGGAAGCACACACATCAGTAAGATCTTGGCGTCTTTAAATACTTAAGGGAAACACAGCTACCTTCAAGGCATGCTGTTTTACTACTGTTTTGCACTGAAATTATAAGATCAGAATCCCTATGCATTATAAAATTTTATTGCCTTTTTTTTTTTACATTCTTTACATAGTTAATTAGGGCAAAAGGGTTCAAGGCTACAGAAAAGTAAGACTATTATTTCCACATTGTTTTTGTCATGTATCCTGGGTAAAGGGAGAAGTCGTACCCAGCCTCCCACCCATGCCAGGTCCTGGATGTAGGATCCTGCTCAGTTATGAATTGCTGCCAGTCTCGCCATTACAAGCACGATGAGGTCACTGAAGAATCCACTGATTGACATAGTCCAACTTAGAGTCTCCGTTTGCCCAGTTTTTTACTTTTCACTGCCACCATATGGGTGAGGTAGTTGACTTTTTTTTTTCTTTGTGTAACTCAGGCTTTTTTTTTTATGATTTATTTATTTTTATTACAAAATCATGCATACAGAGAGGAGGAGAGACAGAGAGGAAGATCTTCCATCCAGTGATTCACTCTCCAAGTGACCGCAATGGCCAGTACTGCACCAATCCGAAGCCAGGAACCAGGAACCTCTTCTGGGTCTCCCACGCTGGTGCAGGATCCCAAGACTTTGGGCCGTCCTCAACTGCTTTCCCACCACAAGCAGGGAGCTGGATGGGAAGTGGAGCTGCTGGGATTAGAACCGGCGCCCTTATGGGATCCTGGTGCGTTCAAGGTGAGGACTTTAGTTGCTAGGCCATGCCGCCGGGCCAGGACAATCTTTACATAGTTAATTTGGGTAAAAAGGTTCAAGGGCTGTAGGAAAGTGGCTAAGACTATTATTCCCATATTGTTTCCTTCATGTATCGGAGGTAAATGGGGATATTAAGGGAGAAGCCCCACCCAGTTTCCCACCAACCCCAAGTCCGGGATATGGGGCATGCTCTGAGACACTTAAGTGGTTTTGATAATTCAGCAGTGTTATGGCCTGCCGTTACTTGTAACGAGGACACAGGGAGGGTCTGAGGGATTGAAGGCACCGACTTGAGAGCACTGATGGTAGAAATCTCTCTCCGAAGCCTCTCCCAGGCTTCCCTTTATTGCCTTCTCTCTTGACCTTTCACCTACTTCTTGTTTACGCTTTACCCCACACCCTCATTAGTGCATATTGGCTACAGCTGAGACCAGGTGCTTCTAGCCCCAAGCCCACTCACTGTAGTGATCGGCTTAACGAGTGCTAGTCAACTCCTTAGCCCACATCACACCAGTTATGAATCGCTGCCAATCTCGCCACTCCAAACATGATGAGGTCGTTGAAAAATCCACTGATTGCCATAGTCCATCATAGCGTCTTCGTTTGCCCAGCATTTCGCTGCCAACATATAGCTGAGGTGGTTGATTGACTTGTTCTGTCCTCTGTCTTTTCTTGGTTAGGGTTCTGAGTCCGGCATTTCAATTGGAGAGATCCCCAAAGAAGCTTTGTCTGAGGTGTTCCCAGACCAGATTCTTGTATGTATTAGCAAGTACAGGGCCCAGCACAGTCCATCATCCCGATCAGCTGGTGTTTGCAATTGCTGGGTTGGTTCTCTTTCCAGCCCTGTCTTCCACTGGAACCAATGGGTGTTGCAGTCCAGCCTGGTTCTGCCCAGTGCATTGTTTTTTTTTTTTTTTTTTTAGATTTATTTATTTTTATTACAAAGTCAGATATACAGAGAGGAGGAGAGACAGAGAGGAAGATCTTCTATCCAGTGATTCACTCCCCAAGTGAGCGCAAGGTGCTGTGCTGATCTGAATCCAAAGCCAGGAACTTCCTCCAGGTCTCCCACATGGGTGCAGGGTCCCAAGGCATTGATTGGTCCATCCTCAACTGCTTTCCCAGGCCACAAGCAGGGAGCTGGATGGGAAGTGATGCTGCTGGGATTAGAACCAGTGCTCATATGGGGATCCTGGCACGTTCAAGGCGAGGACTTAAGCCGCTAGGCCATGCCACCAGCCCCGGACTGACGTGTTCTGTCCTCTGTCTTCATGGTTAGGATTCTGAGTCTGACAGTTCAACTGGGGAGATCGCCAAAGAAACTTTGTCTGATGTGTTCCCAGACCAGATTCTTGTATGTACTAGCAAGTACAGGGCCCAGCACAGTCCATTGCCCCAATCAGTTGGTGGTTGCAATTGCTGGGTCAGTTCTCTTTCCAGCCCTGTCTTCCACTGGAACTAATGGGTATTGCTGTCCAGCCTGATTCTGCCCAGCACACACTTTGCCCTCACATAAACCAGTGGGAGCTGCAGCCTAGTTGGAGCAACCCATAATAACCCCCACCAGGCCCACCCCCTATCCTGGTTTGCCAGTATGTGCAGCAGACTAGTCCAGTCTGTCCAGCCTCCCATTCTGCTCTCATACATGTCAATGGATATTGAAGCCTAGTTCAACCCAACCAGCCTCACTATCCAGCCCACACACATACTGGTGGGTGCCTCTCTGTCTAGCCTCCAGCCCGATCCTGGTTTTCATGCCCTCCAGTGGGAGTGGTAACACACGAGGGGGGTGCCCACTCTTTCCCTTCTAGGCCACTGCCACTCCCGGATCATGCACTTTCCAGGTGGTTCTGCAGTTTAACTTGACAGATTCAGCCCCCAGTGCCAGGATCTATCAGCTGATGCTGTGGCAAAGCCCAACCAACCCTCACCCACTCTAATTTTTGTTTACACCAGTAGGAATAATCAGTGTAGCCTGGCTTTTCCCTGATCTAGTCCACATGAGGCCCCACAGGTGCTGTGGTGACCCTGCCTAGTCTGGTCTGCTCCCATCCCAGCTGACGCTCTCCAATGGGAATGGTTGTCCAGCAGGGAATGCCCCCACCTACCCTCTGCCAGCTCCGCCCCTTCCCTCCCTGGTTCTCATGGGTGCTGGTTGGGCGCTGTGGTCACATCTGGTACAGGTCACTTCACCTTAGCATTCCGTAATGTCCACTGGTTTTTGTCTCATCCGAACCTGGCTCGACCCATACTCTGTTTTGGTGCTCTGATTCACCAGTGGGTGATGTGACCTGGTTCAGCCTGGTCTGCCCCTGACCCCCAAATGTATGCCTACTCGGTTCACCTCCTGTCCTAGCAAGAACAGTGGCTTTTCCTGACTGGCCTTCAATCCAATCCGGTTCTTACTGTTGGATGTTTCAGCCCAGCCACGGCTTGTCATACCCACATACAGCTCACACATGGCTCAGTAAGGGCTGAAACCTAGCCTAGTCCGTCCCACATCTACCCTGGTCCTCCAGAGCACCAGATGGTGTTGGAATCTAGCCTGGCTTGGTGCGTCCAGTCCCAGTCCACACTTGAGCCAAGGGAGACTACAGCCACATCCAGATTAGAACTCAGCCCCAATTTCAGCCCCCGAGCACCTTGGTGGGAATCTCAACCCAGCTAGAGTGTCCCCTTAGCTCCCCAACCAGGCCTGTTCCCAGCCATAGATTGTGCACATGCCAGTGGGTGCTCTGGCTCAGCTTGGCATAGCCCCTCACCTACCTTGGCCTTTGCCTTAGATGCTGTGGCTTAGCGTCCCTGGCTCATGCAGACCAGTAAGTACAAGAGCCTAGCTCAGCATGACCTGTGCTCCATCCTGATTTCTAATTTTGCTTGTGAGCTAAGGTTTGCCTTCCTGCCTGGTCCACCCAGGTCCATTACCAACCCACACATTAGGCAGCCATTGGAGCTACTTTACCCAGCTTGTCCGACCCCTAGGTCTGGACCATGTGTTCACCAGCAGGAGCTATGACACATGAGGGGAGTTTCCCAAGTTCCTCCACTTGATCCACTCCCAGACCCAGTTCTCATACATGCCAGTCAGTTTTATTATTGCCTGTTTTCTGCTCTGGGTTTTCACGTAGATACTTGCTATAAAACCCCCTCATTTATTTTCTTCAATGTGCTTCTTGTTCATGGCAAGAAGTGGCTGCCTGACTGAAGAATATAAACATCTCACTTGTCTTGGAGTCTTGCTCAATTTCTTTGAACCCCAACACTAGAGGTTTCCACATCCTGATTGCTGGATTTGCCCAGGAGTTCCCTGTTCCCACCTTTGAAAGCTGCTGTATGGCTGGAGCAGGATGGCTCACCTCAGAGGCTCCTCTCAGGGGCCTACTGACCCAGGGTGAGCCACTCCGAGGCCACAGATGGTGACATGGGCTTTCTCTGCTCCAGTGGCTGAGGGACTGGCTAGCTCCTCCAGCATCCCTGGCCTTGCCCACACAGGGCTGGGGTCTCTGAAGACACTGGGAGCCCTAGAGGAAGGTCCCGCAGCACTGGATCCTGCACTTCTCCATGCACACAAACACCAATTTCTGGGTACACATTCAAATTTATTGTTGCTATGCTAACAGGCCCCATGTCATTTCTAACTGTGGGGCCAGGCTGGAATGCATAGCAGCCACAGAGTTGGGATCAGCATTGGTCCCTGCTTCTTCAGATGTCCTGGGGATGACTGGGTGGTCAGAGCTTCCAGGTCCCCTCACACACAGCCCGGAACATGTCTGCTGTCAGGGGCCGAAAGGCCTGGGCCTGGTTGTCCAGTATAAACAGGGGGTCACCAATGATCCCCACGTTGAAGCCCTCTTGCGCCAACTGAGACTTCTTCAGCTTGAAGGTGCTCGTGATGTCCAGGGTGTCCTACAGGGCAGTGATGGTCACTCCATGATTGGGACAACACCTTTAGCTGCAAACCCTCCACCACTCCACCCAATTGTGCACTCACCTGGATGCGGATGAAATGTGGAGTAGCATAAGTTGGGAGCCAGGCACGGGCATGCTGGTACAACTCCTGCCCATTGAAAGTCCGGCCAGGGGCCAGCTTCACAGCCGCCATGCCTATCTTGCCTTCACACCCTGTAGCACACACAGGTTACTTTGGGTTTACCCACCTCACCGCCAAATGACTTTCACTGCCTGTCTCAGCTCTGCTCCTTGGTGAGCAACCAGCCCTGTTTCAAAACTTTCTGTGCTGTTATTTTCCCCACCAGCAAAACTACTGCAGGTGTGAAATGAGGCCCACTCTCCTTACCTGGCACAGGTACACCATAGACATTCACTTCCTGCAGGAAGTCCACAAGGTTCAGCACGCCCTCCACCTCCCGAGTAGACACGTTCTCACCCTTCCATCTGTCAACGTGGAAGCTGCTTTGAGGCACTGCCTCCCCGTGGGACCAGGAGCCCTTCAAGATGGGGAACTCCTCTCCCTCCCCACACACTGAAAGGATCTGGGAGTACCCTAAGCCACCCCATCCCAGATCCAGAAGGCTAGCTTCCAAGACACCCCACCCCGCACCGGAAGGTGTCTCCAAGTCGGTCTTGGAAGTAGAGGAATCCTTCCTGGTCCATGATCAGTACATCCCCGGTGTTGTAGTAAATATCGCCTTCTTGTCGCACATGTCGCACCAGTTTCCGTTCTGATTGTTCTTTGGGCCCGCGGTAGCCCAGGAAGGGATTGTGGCGTAGTACTTTAGTCAGGAGGAGCCCTGCTTTCCCTGGAGGGGAGGTGGGAGTAGGAGCAAGGTAGGAACGCTGAGCAAGAACCTCCAGAGCTCACCAGCCCTCTGCTGGAGATTTCCAGAAAGGTGGGATTCCAATCCAGCACCCTGCCAAAGAGAGGCAGGGAGAGAACAAGACAGAATGAGAGAGATGCAGACACAGAGAAATAGGGAAAAAGAGCAGCAGATGTCCTTGGGGGCAAGGGCAGTGGACACAAATCCAGCAGTGCTCAACAGGGCACCAGGAGCCTGAAACAAGAAAGGAGGGAAGAGGAGTAGACAAATGATGTGGGGAAGAAAGGGGTACAACTAGTGCCTTGCATGGTCCTGTGAGAAGAGATGGGGAAAGGAACTGATACCTGCGAGGATGTGGCAGCTAGAGAGAGCAGCTCAGATGGACGCCCTGAATCCTTGCTGGTTATAGCAAGAGAGCTGGGCAGTCACAACACTGAGAGGCCAAGGACCCCAGGCAGTGGCTGGACAGGCCAGGGACCCTGATTCCAGATGTCCTCACTAGCCACTGCTCCCTAGGACAAAGGAGATGTGGATGTCTGCCACAGCCAAGGACATCTCCAAGCTTTACCTGGCTTCACAGGGATGCAGAATCCTTGCTTGTCCCTCACAGGCTCTGCTGCCTCAGTGTCAAATTGCACAAGCTCAAAAGGAGCCAGCATCTGCAGTGGACAAAGTGGGAGCATTGGCAGAGGACCTGTGGCCCAAACTCAAAACAGGAGGACCCCCACCAGTCTGGGCAGTCCACTCACGTACTCGAAGAAAGCAGTTTGTCTTGCCCACGGCCCCACAATGCCCTGGATAGTTGATGAAGCCAGCATTGCCCTCAGTGGAGCCATAAGCTTCCCAAATCCGGATGGGACCAAAGCGCTGCTGGAGGGTCTTCCACACGTTTGCCCGGAGTCCATTGCCAATCGCCAAGCGGACTGAGTGTATCTTGTCATCTGGTTGCTACGAGGATATCCCAAGGAGGATGAGGAGGCCACCTGGGATATGCCAAGGAACCCTTCCCTCAGGGAGGAGGGAATGTTTTACCTTGGGGGTTGCCTGGACAGGAAGGGGAGACCTAAAACTGAGAGGTCTGCCTTGGCTTCCCACTGGAATGTGGTTATTGAAGGCATTGCCTGCCAAAGTCACCCAAGTACCTTGCCCATAGGAGTTAACTCAGAGGGTTAGCTAAGGGTGGTGGGAGGCCTCATCTGCGATCCTACCCAGGGATAGTTACCTGGTCCTTTGGCCCGGTTCCCTGCCAGGTTACTCGCAGATTTTTATCTGGAAGGTGCTTGGTATCTTCAGGTGTATCTGAAAGCCTTTCCCTAGACAGGTTTCCAAGAACCATTCATGGGGATGGTTCTTCAGTGCGCCCCTAGTGAATCTGTCCTGAGTCACATCCTGTTCTAGTCACTACAATGATTTAATTCATTTTGTTTTTGTGTTACTCTTCTGGGCAGTACCTCTTTTCATTCTTTCTCTTCCCAGAGAGGGACACTGGGAGTGAGAAAAGCATCACCTGCCCAAGGCAGCACAGCTAGCTGTCAGAGGAACCCCAGGGAAGGCTTGTGTGGAGCTCATCATCTGGGAAGGACCCCACTGTGGCGCTGACTTTAGACTTTTGCTCTTGATGGCATCAGGGATTTCATGCTTCGGGTGTTCATCACGGTCTCACCTGGGGAACATTGCACAGGTACCGCAGAACCTCACCCACATACAGAATCACAGTCACGCCATGCTGCCGGCAGTCACTCCAGAAGCTGGAGGCGGAGAACTTGGGCACCAGGACACAGGTGGCTCCTGGGAGGAAGAAGAGGAGGGGTTTTCAAGTTACACTTCCTGTGAGAAGCTGCTGTAATCAGCAGACTGCTGATGAAAATAAGTCGGGGGCAAAGTGCTTAGCACAGTGGTTAAAAATGCCACTTGGGGGTCAGTCCTTTCATCCCTGCTCCCTGCTAGTACACACTGGGGGGCAGAAGAGGCCCAAGCATTTAGGACCTTCCCTCCTGCTTGAGAGACCAGGATTGAGTTTTAGACTTCTGACTTCCACTCTCATTACCCTGGCTGTAGTAGTACAGCATTTGGAAGACCTCCCTCTGTCTCTTTCCCCCCATTTTTCTGTTTCTCTGTCTTTCAAATGGAGTTCCCCTCTAAGCCCCTGGCCCTTTCCTAATCAGAACATCACAGTCAGGACTGTGCTAAAGTCCTGCCTGCATACTATGCAGAAAGTTCAGTGGCTGAAACAAAGTGATCACTGCTAACTAAGGACTTTGGATGTTATTTTTCTTTCTTTTTTTTTAAAGATTTGTTTTATTTTTATTACAAAGTCAGATATACAGAGAGGAGGAGAGATAGAGAGGAAGATCTTCCGTCTGATGATTCACTCCCCAAGTGACCACAACAGCTGGAGCTGAGCCGACCTGAAGCCAGGAGCCAGGAACTTCCTCCAGGTCTCCCACATGGGTGCAGGGTCCCAAAGCATTGAGCCATCCTCAACTGCTTTCCCAGGCCACAAGCAGGGAGCTGGATGGGAAGTGGAGCTGCCATGATTAGGCGAGGACTTTAGCCACTAGGCCGCAGCACTGGACCCTGGATGTTATTTTTAAAAAGATTGAGTTAGGGCCCAGTGTGATAATCTAGCAGCTAAAGTTCTCACCTTGAATATATCAGGATCCCATATGGGTGCCAGTTCTAATCCCAGCAGCCCCGCCTCCCATCCAGCTTCCTGCTTGTGGCCTAGGACAGCAATCGAAGATGGCCCAAAGCCTTGGGACCCTGCACCCATCTAGGAGACCCAGAAGAGCCTCCGGGCTTCTAGCATCATATCAGCTCAACTCCAGCTGATTTTTAAAAAAATAAATCTTAAAAAAACGAAAGAATTTAAAGGTCCTGTGTGATAACCTAGTGGCTAAAGTCTTCCCCTTGCATGCTAATAGTCCCAAAATGGTTATGAAATTGGGAATTACTCAAGCTTGTCCAAACTTGCCTTTTTTTGAATGTTCAATTAAACCTTCATTCAGATCCCATCCTCTGTGTTCCTCACTAGTACAAAAGGCTGGCCCAAACCTTGTTGAAGTATCTTGTCTATATGTGTTTTGGCTTTTTGTTCATTCTCTCTCAAGCTCCTGTGCAGTTATTTATTATATTTTTGAAGATACATTTATTAAAAAGAGGTCTTTAATCTACTTTAATCGCTTTTCAAACTTCCATAAAAGCCAGGAGCCAAGAAACCCATCCTGGTTTCCTACTCAGGTACAGAGACCATATCATCCAGAAGCTGAGTCAGAAGGAAGCAGGACACAAACTCTGGTGTCCCGTGTGGCGACTTAACCCACTGTGCCACAAGGCTAGGCTCCCTGCAGTTGTTTCTTGAGTGTACAGTCTCCATTCCTTTAAATAAACCCTCCTTGCCTGCACACCTTTACATCTACAACTTGTCTTTTTTTCCCATGTGAAGGCAGTGGTTTGAAATAGCCCTGGCTGAGGCCTGGGTGTCCTGTCATCCATGACATCTGGGTTGGAATCCAGCTCCAGTTGTAATCCAGTCTCCTGGGAATGTATACCCTGGGAAGCAGCAGATGCTGATCAAATGCTTGGAACCCTGCCATCCTTGGGAGAGACCTAGATTGAATTTCTGGAGCCCCGATTTGGCCTGGCCAAGTCCAGCTATTGTGGGCATCTAGGGAATGTAGCAGACCCTAGAGGATTCTCTGTCTCTCTCTCACATGCACATAGATTAAAATAAACAATACTTTTATAAAGCCCTGCCAACTAAATATCAAAATCCCTGCACCTGGGTCCAGTATTGTGGCCTAACAGCTAAAGTCCTCACCTTGAATGCGCTGGGATCCCATATGGGTGCCAGTTCTAATCCAGGCAGTCCTGCTTCCCATCCAGCTCCCTGCTTGTGGCCTAGGAAAGTAGTCAAGGATGGCCCAAACCCTTGGGACCCTGCACCCACGAAGGAGAAACTCCTGGAAGAAACTCCTGGCTCCTGGCTGTGGACTGGCTCAGCTCCAGCTGTTGTGGTCACTTGGGGAGTGAATCTAACCTATTGAGCCACATGCTGGCCTCCAGTTCTTGGATTCTACAGTGACTCCTACAATAGCCTTGGGTCCTCCTATAGCATTGTCTTGGCCACGTCACCCTGACACTCCAGTGGCCCCAACTGAAGGGATTCCCAGAGAACAGCTTACCAAGCTCTAAGCAGCCCAGGAGCCCAAGAATAAGGCCCATTGTGTGATGCAGAGGCAGGACCACATACACGACGTCATCAGGTGTGACCCCACACAAGGGTAGCATTTGGCTTATCTGCAGGACCTTCTCATGTGTGACAATAGCCGGCTTTGGGAGCCCTGAGGAGTGACAAATGGGAATGGTGAGGAGGTAAGAGGGGTGGGTCTTCATAGGCCTGTGTATAGGGTGAGCCTCTGAGGGTAGGCAGCAATGGGGACATGTTGTTGGTTTCTGGTGGAAAGGAATGGATCAACACCAAAGTTCAGTGAGGATTTCAGTAGCTGTTCTGTGGGCAGAGGTGGGATCTTGGCTCTGGGCACACAGGTCACACTGCAAGTCCAAGGTCCCTGTCAGAGGGCAGTGTAGATTTCACAAGGTCCCAGCACAGGTCCCAGAAATACAGGACAAGGCTGGGGTTAGGCCAGGGTGAGCATGCAAAGGTTAGGGCCAGGGCTGCAGGCGCCCTCACCAGTGGTCCCTGAAGTGTAGATGTACACAGCAGGGCTCTTCCGGGTGATCTTGGCACGCAGGTCAGCAGGCACTGGCTTGGACGATGCAGTATCCAGGGCAGCTCCCAGAGCCCCCACCCCTGGTGTAGGGGAGCTAGGGCTAAAGTAGAAGCAATGGACGTTCTCGGCCTGCAGTTTGGGAAGCACTTCTTCCAGGTTCTCCTGGAGGTCTGCACAGGTAGAGAGGAAACTGAGACAAGGTTCACCCTGGGGCCACAGGCGCATCTGAGGCCAGAGACAGGGCAGAAGAGTACTCAGCAGACAGACTTCTCCCTTCTTGAGTAAAAAGGGTTAAAATGGCCATTGTAAGGGAAGGAAAATTTAAAAACTGTACATCTCAGGTCACCATTGCTAGTGGTAATGGATAGAAGCAAAGGGTTCTTTGTCCAGCCTTTCCCCACAAACCTGGACCCCTGTCCTACAAACCACCCCTTGCCCCTATGCCCTTGCAGCCTCTATTGGCCCAGAGGCGCTTACCTGGGTCCACCAGCAGCACCTTGGCCCCAGAAGCCAGCACAGAGTGTACCAGTGGGAGCCCACGGATCTGTGGGTTGATCCAGGCCACTGGGCAGCCCAGCTTGGCCAGCCCCAGCCACAGACTCAGACCAGGAATGGTGTGAGAGGCCAGTACCAGGAGGGCAACAGGCTCCCCAGCAATTAGGCCAGTGGAGCTGCCCAGATGATCCTTCAGAGTCCATGCTGCCTGGCAAACCCTGGCATCCAACTCACTGAAGGTGATAGAGCAAGCCCCAGGGCCTGTCCACACCAAAGACACATGGCCAGGGTGTACTTGTGCCTGCCGCTCAAAGGAATCCACGAAGGTGTCAGGAGGCTGCCGATTGAAGCGTCGCCTAACCCGCAGGTTTAAATAGGTAGCCTTGAGCACGTAGGAAATGTCTGAAGGCAGCCAGCGTAGTCCTGGAGGTGGCCGCGGGGGTAGCAGCATCAGCGCAATGGCCGCAACTGCCAGGCTCACCCAGTGGGGCATCCAGGGGCTGAGCCAGGGTCGCACCAGCACAGCCAGGCCAAGCAGTATGCAGCATGTGGGGTCCCCCAGGAGCCAACGCAGGGCCAGGGCCAGGGCTGCGGGCCACAAAGGCTGCTCTAGGACCCACAGCATAAATAAAAGCAGCAGGAGACCAGCGAGTTGCTGCCTGCCACCCATAGTACCAACTCTTCTCTGGAACGGGTGGTTGTGAATGTACAGGCTTACTCTGTCTCAATGCCCCCTGGCTCTCACGTCCAGCCCATCCTCTCTGCCCAGGAGGCGGTGGCTCCAGCTCTGCTGGCAGTGGCTGCTCTGGGTCCAGAACTCTGCCCCCAGCTCTTCTCTTCCTCTGTTTTGCTCTGCCTGTTTACCTACCTTATCAACCCTGTTCTTCCCCAGAGCGCCATCCCCCTCTCTGTACCTGCAGGTCTTTGTTCCCTGGGCACCACCACCAATCTTCCTGCTGTCCAGCTGGCTCAGTCCTCCCCCGAGGACTGGCAGCTGCCTCCCATCCAAACCTATTCTGTGGCGGGAACCTGAGATAAAGGAATCCTTGCCCTTTTGACATGTTCCTGCAAGTCAAATAGGACAGCAACAACAGGACAAGGTAGAGCTGAACCCAAGCGTCGCCTGATCTGTGGGGAGAGACCTAACTGGGCTATGTTACTTTTCTCCAGTGATGGAGAGGAGCCTGGCCTCCTGCCAGGTACAGAGCATCTGTGCAGCAAAATATCTGCAGGAAGATATGCACTGCCTGAATTCAGAGGCAGCCCTGTCCTTACCCATGTTCCCATTCCCTTCCACCCTTGGCGCTGGAGATTGAGTGCTGGAATTGAGGAGACTGAACTCTGGCCCTCACACGTATGGCTGGAACAAGACATCCCCTCACCACTGGGATGCAGTCACAGAGGGAGATCTTAGCAGCCACCTCAGGCCTCTGAGTTTTCCAAGACTAGAGTCCCCTTTACCAACTCCTCATCCTCAGAGCACGGTGCCTGGGTCAGGAGCTGCCAGTGCACCAGAGGCAGGATATGGGGCAAATGGCCTCTCTGGGCTGGGCCAGCCAATGACAGCCTTGAGGCTGGCTCATCAGCAGGGTTGGGGATGTGTGGTTTTCACTCACTCAGGAGCCACTAACTGGAACTTGGCCACCAGAGGCCAAGGCAGCTTCCACAAGTAAAGTGCCACCATGGCTCTTGGAATGCCAGAGCCAAAGTTTTGCATCTGCATGCTGAGGGACATCTTGGGTAGGGGCCTAAAATATACTTGGTGACTGGGTTTAGGGTCTCTCTCATGACCCACTTCAAAAGAGCTGTCCTGTGTCCCTCCCACCCACAGGATCAAATGCTACAGGAGAACTGAGTGTGGTCACATACCCGGGCTACCACAGTACCCAGAACTGAGTCCTACATGCTTTAAGAAATACCCGGGAGGTGGGTGTGGTGGCAGTGGTACTGCCCAGGGATGGGTATCTTGAGTGCCAGTAACCATAGCTCAGACTGAGCTCAATGTCACACAGGTATGCCTCACAGCTCACCTTGTTTATTACAGTGAGGGAAATCCTAGTGCCAGTCCCATGGCATGATCGGTGCACATTCAAGCCTTCTGAAACACCCCAAGAGAAACAGTTGCTCAGGACATCACCAGCCAGACATGGGGGCAGGGGAGCATTCCACACCCCACCCCACCAGGGAACACAGCAGACACAAACCATTACCAGAAATACAAGTCCAGAGCCAGCTGCAGGGATCAGGGTATCCAGTTCTGAGGAGGCCGAATGCCCCTCCTCCTAGTATCCAAGAGGAGAGGCACAGGGGGGCTGGACTCACCCGAGGTCAGGTGTAGGGAAAGGGGTTGGAAGGAGGAGTCTATGCTCCGAGAAGGGCCTGGTATGATGGAAGGAACAGAGTCAAGCTGAGGCTGCTGGAGCTGCCAGGCTCCAATGGACAGACAGCTGTCATGCAGTAGGTATAGTCCACCACGAAGGGGTGCGGTGGATTCCCAGATTGGAGTGGCCAGTTTCCAAGCCCCAATCAGGGTGCAGGGTGTGTGGCCAGGTGGCGCTCCAGCAGCGTGCGGTGGGAGAAGACCTTGCCACAGGCTGGGCAGGGTGCGCGCTCCGGCCGGTGCGTGCGCATGTGCACGTTGAGGGAACTCTTCTGTGTGAAACGCTTGGCACAGACCGCGCACTGGAAGGCACGCACTCCGGTGTGTGTGACCATATGCTTGAGCAAGTAGTCACGAAGAGAGAAGGATCGCCAGCACACGGCACACTGGTGCGGCTTCTCCCCTGCAGATGATAGGACCAGCCCATGCCAATGTTAGTCCACACAGCTTGGGGGCCTGAGGGCTTTATCTGATAGGGGCCTCCATTCTCTCCAGGACCAGCCACCATCCTGGGAATTCCCACCTGTCAGGGAACCTCCCTCCTCGTTTTGGAATCCCCTGCCCCTTAGGAATGCACACACACCATGTGCAATATGCACACATGCACACCCTCCCCTAACACCCATGCCGTCTCGCTGAGGGCCGCAGACAGGCACCCCCTCCCCACCCAACCTCACAGGGACCCTCCCAGCACTGGGCTACACCTGTCTGGAACCTCGGTGCTTATCCTAGCTGCCCATATGGGTCTCCCCTCAACCTCTCAGAGGCCTGAAGCCCCTCATCAGGCCCACTGACTTCCAAAGCACTTCTCCCCATCCCAGTAACATCCCTTCTGTCAAGACCCTGTCATCAGCTTTCCAAAGGTTCTTGGCAGGGTTTCTACTCCCTAACCCAGTCTCAAGAGCACCCCCTCCCCAAGCGAGGACCCCACTCGGGGTTTCTCTGCCCACATGCCCTGACACTTGGAGAATCTGACCTCCAGGCTCTCTAGGGTTACTGCACAGGAGCACAACTCTGCCAGTGTCTTTCCACCAGTCCCCAACCCTTCCTTAGCTTTGGCTCTCCAAAGACCAATGGGCTTGGAAGCCTGTGGGCCAATGGAAATTGCCTCCTTAACCCCACCCCACCTTCCCACCTGCAGCCTGCAGCCCTGGCTCACCTGAGTGGATGAACATGTGCTTAGTGTAGTTCTTCCTGGAGCTGAAGGTTTTACGGCAATGGCTACACTCATAGGCTGGCGGCTCACCACCAGCGGCTCGAACAGGTGTGACCGAAGGCGCGGTGGTTGGAGCGGCAGGCTGAGCTGAAGCCTCCCCCAGCTGAACGTTGGGGGCAGCGTCTGGCTGGAGCGTGGGGTAGAAGGTAGGGGGAGGCCCCGGCGCTGGCCCTGGTGGTGTGGGAGGGGCTGGTGCAGGTGGCCCAGGGGCACCCAGGTGAAAGGGGAAGAGAGGAACAGGTGGCCCTGGGGTCTTCACGCTGGGAGTATGGGATCCAGCCAGGACGCAGTCGGGTGGAACAGGGGCCTCCACTGGGCAGCTCTCGGTAGTGGTACTGTCCTCTTCATGCCAAGCGGATACATAGCTCTCCGGAAACACGTCCTCAGTCACTACAGCCCCTCTAAGGAAGTCCCTACCAGCACTGCTGTAGTCAGTGAGGCCGGTGGGCACAGGGGGTTCCTCCCGCGCTGCGTCTGCAGTGGTGGTGAGGAAGCCCGCAGCACAGTCGGGAAAGGAAGGTGGTGCCTGGCCCTCTCCAGGACCACTGCCTTCGCCGTCCTCGCCTTCGCTCTCATCATCGGTCTCTTCGTCATCGTCATCACCTCTATCCTCGGGGACCGGGGGCAGGGTCAGCGTGGGGTCAATGTCAGGTACCTCCAGCTTGGCTGGCGCTGGAGGCGCAGGCAGCTGCAGGCGCGCAGGCTGGCGCTGCTTACGGCTGTGCACCATGCCCGGGTGCCCTGCAGGACGGGCGGCCAATAGATGGCGTAGACGGTGGCGCAGCTGGGCTGGAGCCAGCGGTGGAGGCACAGGCGCAGGCAGGGGCGCAGGCGCGGGAGTGCCTGGTGCACGTGTGCGTGCGATAATCTGCGTGCACTCGTCAATGACGGTCTGGATGCGGAGCACAGACGCAGCAGTGAGCACTTGCAGCGCTTCTCCCTGCGCCACCACCAGGGAGCCACTGTAGAGGAACTCGACGAGCTGACGCACTGTCTGTGCGGGCACCACGGGCGGCACGCGGATCTCCGAGTGGCCAAGCAGCAGCTTGTCCTGGAAGAAGGGCGAGCCAGCAGCCAGCACGCAGCGATGTGCACGCAGGGAAGCCTCGCGGATGCGCACAGTCACATCGCAGAAGTGCCCACCCAGCCTTTGCCCATTGAGGGTTTCCAGCAAGGAGCGTGAGAAGTTCTGGAGGTGGATGTGGTGCACTGCCTCTGCCGCTGCCATCTGTGTGGGATGAGTGGGTGGGGACAAGCAGGGGTCAGCCCCCATAAAAACCCCTGGAAGAGGGCGGGAATATTGCGGGTCTGTCCCTACTCACACCTGTTCATCACCCCACAGTGCACCCTGCCCCATCTGGACTGGCCCACCCTGTCCCCAACTCCAAGTGACCCCAGAGACCCTCATGTGTAACTGGTGGCCCCACCTCACCCTGAGCACGACCCACTGCAGAAACACTGGTCCCCATATCCACTGGCCAGCTGTGACTCCTGCCACCCCTGAGTTCTGGTGGCAGAGATCTTTCCACCACATCTCTCAACATTAACTGGTGTCCGTAGGCACATCTGCCCCCTGGGCAGAGCTATTTGGGAGGTGCCTCATTAACAAAGGGCTGAGGTAGAAGGTCTGGCATTAGCTTGGCATGCATCAGCCCAGAAGGTGTCCCAAGACTGGCCATACATGACTCGAGCATGCCCAGAAGAGCAGGCAGGAAGGTGCCTCCTGCAGCCCTGGTGGTACTAGCCATCTCCATAGGACCTATGGGACTCAGGGGTGGGTATGGCACAGAGAAGAGGGCACACAGGGACGCTCCCGAGGGTGTATGACAAATGGGTCAGAGTGGAGCACCAGCAGGCCACAAGATGAGCAAGGTTGGACAATCCCCGCGCCTCTTACAAACCTGTGACCACATAATCCCAGCACTGCACCAGAAAGAGGGGAGCCCCACCCCCAGTACTCTGGGAATTTGAGAAACTGTGGTGCTTTACCTGTGGGACCAGTGACCAGTGCTGGCTGGGACTTAGGAGTAGGGGAGGTGAGCTCTCCCCCTCGCCGCACACATACCATGTATCTAAGCGCCTGAGGTTGAGTCTGCTCCGCTTATGGGGAGTCAGCAGACAACTCCAGGCCTTGGGTCCCTGCCACCCGCAGAGGAGGCTGGAATGGGGTCTGCAGTTCCCAGCTTCTACTTGGCCCAGGCTGTTGTTTATCACTTGAGGAGTGACCCTGCAGCTGTAAAGTGTGCTCTCTCCCCCCTCTCTGCCTTTAAATAAATAAAGGGCATGCAGGAAATACTGGGATCATCCTCCAGAACGCCCATACCCAAAGTCTAAAGGAGGAGCATCGGGACCCAAGACGTACCCTGAGACATGTCCTCTGCCCACCAGTCCCCTCGGCTCCAGTGAAGTGCCCCCCTTAATCCTAGCGCTGCACCCTCGGGACTCATGGGGTGTCAGATTCAATTCTTGCGGCACCTTCCATATGCTCTCGCCAGATCCGTCCCAATCCACACACCTGCACTACCCGGGCGGCTGCCGGCCCTATTGGCCCGCCGCAGCCAGAGGGAGCCTTGCGCGGCCGTCAGAGGCCCAGCCTCGGCTCAGAGCCCTCGGCGGCCGGGAATTCCTCCTAAGGCTCGAGCTTCGCAGGTGCTTCCGCAGGGACTCCGATCCGGGCCACTGACGGCGGGCAGACACTCCGGGGCTGGGGCCCTACCTTTTCTGCCCCTGGCCTGCCCTGCTCCCTGCAGGACCCCCGTTCCAGAGTCCGGAGACAACAGGGCCTTCGTGGACATCTCAGAACAAAGGCACCCAGGCCTGCCCTCCCAGGCCTGGCACCGAATACCTGCCGCCACGATGTCGCCCACGCCATGCACTTTGCTCCAAACACCCAGCCCCGTCCTCCGCGCCACCGATCGGTCCCGAACCCGAGCCCACAGCCCCCAGTCTGCCCCCTGCTCCAACCTAGGGCTCCCGCCTCAGTACCCTGGCCCGCACGGCGCCCTGATGCTGTAGCGCCCTCTCGCGTTCTCCACATGAGCTCCAAGACTAGCCGGGGCGCCCCAGGCACGCCAGGCCTTCCCCGCGGCCCTGCAGCAGGGGATGCGCGCCAGACCCCACCTCCGGCTCTTCCTTGGGCACAGACCCCGCCGCGACTGCCTCCCGCTCTCCAGCACCGAGACCACGCTTCCGGGCGGCTACGCCTGCGGAACCCAAGCCTCGGCCGCTGCGGCGCCGGGGGAGCGTTCCGGCAAAGCACGCTTCCGGCGTTTCTATGGAGATGGGTCGCTGCTGCCGAGGTGCGCTTCCGACTGTCACTGGGGTTCGCCTAGGCCGTGGTGTCCAGGTGACCAGGCGGGGACCGGGCCTTAGCCGCCAGTCAGTGCGCCTGACCCGAGAGCAGGAAGCCGGGCGCCCGGTGCATCCCCCACTGCCGCTCGGGGAGCCGGCATTCTTCCCCAACATGAGTGGGAGCTCAGGAGGCACTGACCCCTGTCCTGTCAGGCCCAAGCCCTCCCAGGCGCGAGCACCAAGGCCTTTAGTCACCCCGCAGGAAGCGAGATGGAAGCGGGAATGAGGGAGAGGGCCCTCGCTCTGTCCCCCACCTGACGCCAGTGGGCCTGGGTCGCAGCCCAACTCTGGGACCACAGCACCCACCTGCCCCAGAGAGGTGTGGGCAAATGAATGAAAAGGCCGTGCTGGGTGTGCTGCGCCGCCTCCTGAGAGGACAGGCTGTGAGAAGGGCTGTGCTGAGGACTGTCCAGGCCCACTCTAACCCTAACGGTCTTGTGGCTTTCCCAGGTATGAAGTCCAGCAGGCCAGGTGCCTGTTCCCAGGTTGGGCTGTGCTTGTGATGTTTGCAGGTCAGGGAGGGGAAAACACCTGCCAAATGCCAAACCAAGATGGTAGGTGATGCTCGGCCAGCAACTCAGGAGACCTGGACTGTTTCCAGCGAATGCTCAGACTGAATCCAGCCTTATCTGTTGCAGCAACTTGGAGAAGTGGAGCTGCTGGGATTAAAACCGGTATCTATATGGGATCAAGGAAATTCAAGGTGAGGACCTAAAAACCATTACGCTATCGCGCTGGGCCCTCACTTTCTGCATTTAAAATAAACGAAGCTAGGAGCTGACACCATGGCATATAAACCAATGACTGCAGTAATAACATCCCATATAGATGCTAGTTTGAGTCCCAGCTGCTCCACTTCCCATCCAGCTCCCTGCTTGTGGCCTGGGAAAACAGCAGAGGATAACCCAAAGCCTTGGGACCCTGCACCCGCCTGGGAGACCTAGAATAAGCTGCTGACTACCAGCTTGGACCAGGTCAGCTCTGTCCAAAGCAGCCATTTGGGGAGTGAATCAGCAGATGGAAGATCTCCCTGGAACTCTGTCAAATTAAAATGAACAAATAGGGCCCAGTGCAGTGGTCTAGCAGCTTAATTTCTTGCCTGGAATCTGCTGGGAACCCATAACGGAGCTGGTTCTAATCCCAGCAGCACTGCTTCCCATCCAGCTCCCTGCTTGTGGCCTGGGAAAGCAGTCGAGGATGGCCCAGTGTTTTGGGATCCTGCGCCCGCGTGGGAGACCTGGAGGAAGCTCCTGGCTCCTGGCTTCAGACTGAGTCAGCTCTGGCCGTTGCACTCACTTGGGGAGTGAATCATTGGACAGAAGATCTTCCTCTCTGTCTCTCCTCCTCTCTGTATATCTGCCTTTCCAATAAAAATAAATAAATGTTTTTTTTTTAAATCTGTATAAAAAATTGTATAAGCAATGGTGATTTTTTCCCCCTTGAGGAGACATGCATTGAAATACATATCTGTGCTCCAAATAACTTCTTTTTTTTTCTTATTAATAAATTTTATTTTGACATTCTTTACATAGTTAATTAGGGTAAGAAGGTTCAAGGGCTACAGGAAAGTGGATAATACTAGTATGTTTTCCATATTGTTAGCTTCATATTCAAAGGGGGGTATTTAAGGGAGAAGCCCACCCAATTTCCCACCCTCCCCAGGTCCCGGATATAGGGCATGCTCTGAGGTTCTTGCTCAAGTGGTCTTGATATTGCCACAGTTATGAATCACTGTCAATCTCGCCACTCCAAGCACTATGAGATCTTTGAAAAATCCACTGATTGACATAGTCCATCATAGCTGAGATGGTTGGTTGACCTGTTCTGTCTTCTCTCTTTTCTTCGTTAGGGTTCTGAGTCCAGCATTTAGATTAGGAAGATCTCCAAAGAAACTTCTTGTATGTGCTAACAAGTACAGGGCCTGGCACCGTCCATCGCTCCAATCAGCTGGTGGTTGCAATTCCTGGGTTGGTTCTGTTTTCACTCCCGACTTCCACTGGAACCAATGGGTGTTGCAGTCCAGCCTGGTTCTGCCCAGCACATACTTGGCCCTCACATAAACCAGCAGGAGCTGTAGCCTAGGTTGGAGCGACCCACAATAACCCCAACCAGGCCCACCCCCTACCCTGGTTTGCCAGTAAGTGTAGCAGTAATCCAGTCTGTCCCACATCCCATTCCACCCCAGCCGCTGTCTTAGTTTTATGTCCTCCCATGGAAGTGGTAACCCAAGAGGGATGAGCCCACTATTTCCCTCCCAGGCCTCTCCCACTCCCAGATTCCAGTTGATGCTGCCCAAACAAACCTCGCCCACTTTAATTTTGTTTGCACCAGTAGGAATAATCCGCCCAGCCTGGCCTTTCCCTGATCTAGTCCACATGAGGCGCACAGGTGTGGTAGCTCTGCCTAGTCTGGTCTGCCCCCATCCCAGCCCATGCTCTCCTGTGGAAGTAGCTGTCCAGCAAAGGAACCCTCCCTTATTCCCCTGCCAGCCCTGCCCACTTCCTTTCTTGTTCTCAGGCTGGTTGGGCGCTGCGGTCCCTTCCGGTACAGGCAACCTCACCTCGGCATTCCGTATTGTGCACTAGTCTTTGTTGCGACCGAACCTGGGTCGACCCACACTGGTGCTTGGATTTGCCAGTGGATGACGTGGACAGATTCAGCCTGGTCTTGCCCCCCCGTCTGCCAATTGTATGCCAGTGGGTAGTTTTCCATGGCTTTTTCTGGGCTGTTTCCTATCATGTTTCTTGCGTTTACCTGCTGGGTCTGTGCCCTGCCAGAGGAGTTGCCCAGGCTCCTCCATCAGAACCTCTCCCAATGCCAGGTTTCACGCTTACCAGTGGGTCCATGAGCCAACCCTACTCAGTCCACCTCCTGTCATAGCAGGAACTGTGGCTTTTCCTGACTGGCCTTCAACCCAATCTGGTTCTTGCTGTTGGATGTTCCAGCCCAGACATGGTTTGCCCATACCCACGTATGGCTCACACATGGCTCAGTAGGGGTTTGAGACCCTGCCTAGTCCATCCCACATCTGCCCTGGTCCTCCAGAACACCAGGGGGAGTCGGGGTCCGGCCCAGTTCGGTGCATTCAATCCCAGTCCACACTTGTGCCAAGGGAGACTACAACTGTTTCCAGATCAGAACGCAGCCCCCTTCCAGGCCACGCGCCTCTTGGTGGGAACCTCAGCCCAGCTAGGGTTGTCCCCTTTGCTCCCCAGCCGGGTCTGTTCCCAGCCATAGATCACATGCCTGCCAATGGATGCTCTGACTCAGCTTGGCACAGCCCCTCCCCTGTCCCGAACTCTGCCTTAGACACTGTGGCTTAGCGTCCCAGGCTCCCACAGACCAGCAGGTACAAGAGCCTAGCTCGGCATGACCTCTGCTCCCTCCTGATTTCTAGTTTTACTTGTGGGCTAAGGTTTGCTCAGTCGTGCCTAATCTACTCTGTTCCATTACCAGTTGACACTTTGGCCAGCTGTTGGAGCTACTTGTGCAGGACAAGCCCCAAGCCATAGCTTCTGCATGACTGGTATTTGGTGCTCAGCATTATTAGTGATTACAAGTTTTGCTAAGGAAGAGTTACTGCCTGTTTCAGGTCCAAGAAGCACAATGGGTTCAACCTGGAGCTAATTAAGCAGCAACTCAAAGAACCAAATCCCCAGAGCTCCTGGGCCGGGCGGCCAGCAGGCGGAGCCTGGCACCAATGGTGCACTGGCTGCCCGGGGAGAACGGCTCACCATGTGCCCATGGCGGCCGTCCGGGATCCAGGCATGAGACGCCCCGTCCTGAGACCCTCCAAATAACTTCTACAAGCAATTCTTCTATTTTGTTTATAGACTTATTAAACCCTATTTTGGGGGGCCCGGCGCGGTGGCGCAAGTGGTTAAAGGTCCTCGCCTTGCACGCCCAAGATCCCATATGGGCGCTGGTTCTAATCCCGGCAGCCCCGCTTCCCTTCCAGCTCCCTGCCTGTGGCCTGGGAAAGCAGTTGAGGACAGCCCAAGGCTTTGGGAACCTGCACCCGTGTGGGAGACCCGGAAGAGGCTCCTGGCTTCGGATTGGCATAGTATCGGCCTGTTGCGCTCACTTGGGGAGTGAATCTTCAGACGGAAGATCTTCCTCTCTGTCTCTCCTCTCTGTATATCTGCCTTTCCAATGAAAAAATAATAAAAATAAATCTTTAAATAAAAAAAAAACCCTATTTTGTTTAAAGATTTATTGAAGACCTGATAATTCACTCCCCAAGTGACCACAACAGCCGGTTCTGCACCAATCCCAAGCAAGGAGACAGGAGCTCTTCTGGTCCGTCCTCAATTGTTTTCCCAGGCCACAAGCAGGGAGCTGGATGTGAAGTGGAGCTGCTGGGATTAGAACCGGTGCCCATATGGGATCCCTGCGGGCTCAAGGCAAGAACTTTAGCCGCTAGGCCACGCCGCCAGGTTCCTGACTACCTCTTCTGAATCTCCCACATAAGTGCAGGTTCCCAAGGCTTTG